AAACGCATTACAGCCAAAACCGCCGATTTTTGGACATGCAATCCATAGAGAATATCTAAAAGCGGACTGTCCACAATCAAACTCCACTTTCTCTAAATTCTCACCAAGATGAAATCCGCAGATGTTGTCGCGGACGGTTTATTTTTCCCCGATGGAGGAAGTCTTAGCGACCTCTAAAGTCTTAGCAACAGATAGAATCCCCCCCCCCCTCGTGGGATATTTTGAAGTTCAGTTTTCAGTTTAAATGCTATTCGTACATTTAGCAGAAATAGCCATTAAAAATACCCCTAAAAATTAAATTCAACATTTGAAATGCCTTCTAGTTGGGAGGATTCAGATTTTCTCCAAAGATCGAGAGGAAGGGAGGACAATGCGTACCAGGCCCGTAAGCGGAAAATTTCAGAGGAGGAAAGTGCAAAATTTTTTGTTAATAAACGAATATACGTTTACACTTTATATGAATTCTACTGTATGGGGGTAAACCCAAGCTTAAATGACCAATGTAGACAATTCTGTTTTTACTCGAGGGAATTAATTTTGAAATTTCAACTGTTAAAGAAGAGGACAAGGTCCTTAGGGGATTCGATGCAGCATTCCCCCGCGGGGTACACGGCGAAGCCCCAGAAGCCAACTTAATATTAAAATTCTAGTATTCTCAGCGTTTTATGAAAATAACTGAATGTAAAACTCAGTCCTTTACCTGGGGCACCTCTGCCTACGTCCCTAATGGGTAAATCTTCTCAAGCGACTTTTTATATGCCTTTTGCCTTTCTATACAAACGCGTGCAAGAACACACCAAGATGCTTAATTGGGGAGTCTAGTCATTAAATAAATTATATAAATATCGAGAATTTGGACTTAATGTACCCCTGCAAATAACCTATATATGCAGACTATAAACCCCTGCAAACCCCTCTCCCCCACGAAACAGAAAATAAATCTTTTATACGATTTTGAATTTTCGTCCGTACAAATCCTGCCCACCGTCCTCCAACTCCCGCGAAGCAAATGAAAAAATGGTGCCTGTGTTCATTCTTACATATGGCAAAATGACAAATTTGCCCTCGTAAAAAGGACTCATCCGTTCCCCCCTTTCCATTCTCAGAGAAATTGTCAAGAAAAAAAGAAACTTCAATTTATAGATTTTAAATAAAAATACAATAAAATCGATTAAATAAGAATAAATAGAAATTTATTAAGTAAAATAAAATAAGTACGTACTTCATCAAATGGATTTTTTTCTAATAGTAGTAAAGTTTTTGTGCATCGAAAATTTTCTTCGTTGACCATTCAACAAATAATAAGAAGAAATTTGTAGATGATACATAACACGTGGCTTTCTAGACACATGGAAAATGACCATTACATGGTACTAGGTCTGAAGAAGTATTACTCTGAGTAGTGCAGAACATCTGCGTGTGTAATCGGTGTAAGTACGGCATTTACTAGTTTTAAACGTGCTCACAGAGTGAATTCCCACGGCTTTTGGAACTCGAACTACTTTGCGTAATACTGTACGTAACGATTGACGGATGGGTGGCAGAAGAAGAAAGGTGGGGGTCGCAAGCGCCCATAGTCCCTGCCCCATGTAGCATTTAAGGTACATTTATTTTTCTTCCTTGGTAAGTGCAAATTCTTTTGCATTAAAAAAAAGCTCAGTGCTGGTCGGGTGGTCGGCGCTGCCTGCAAAGAAGGGCTTGCAGACCCGCTTCCGCCGGCCCAGTCACTGAATCGGCCTTCACAATCACTGAAGTTTCTGGATGTCAGTTTTAGTAGCATTTCCTCACGCCAGACAGGGATTCATGTGCAGATATGTTACTTTAGCAAAAAGTTTAGGAAACAATTTTTATGCAGGATTGTTTTGATTTTGATAAGGCTGGTGAGCTTGTATTTAAATTCATTTATACGCGAGGTCCACGAGAAGTTCTAATGCATTGCAATATACAGGGTGATCAGCAAATAAGCCCTGATTTCAAAATTAAATATCTCAACAACAAAGATGGATAGAGTTATGCGGTAAATTGTATGTTTATTAGCAAAACTGTAAAAATGGTGTACAAAAGTTTAAAAAATTTAGTTGTGAAAATCGTTAACAGATGGCGCTCTAATCGCAATGAAATATCAATAGCCTTTAAAATGTGCTTCGAAGTCGAAAGTGATCAGTACAACTGTTGGCTAGTGAAAAGAGGCTAGCGTAGAAAGTGAAATAATGTATTCCATTGAATAACGTGTAGTTTGGTTCTGGAATTTCACCGATTAGAACATAGTCCTACGGCAACACGTCGCAGTTTTCAAAACCGATTCAATGTTCCAGTTGGACCCAATGCGAAACCCATTCGCATGCTCTTCGCGAAATTCGAATGGAATGGCAGCGTGGCTGATGATCGAAAGGGAAATGTTGGGCCTAAGCAAACTATAGTCACTCCTGAAAATGCAGCCAAAGTTTCTGGATTTGTTCAGCAAAACCCTAGGAAAAGCATCCGACGGATTGCATCAGAGACAGGTTTGAAGTACACGAGCACACAAAAAATATTTAAAAATAGCCTACGGCTGTTTCCATACAAAATCCGAAGTCATAAGGCCATACCCATGAAAGCTGTGCAACAAAGGGTTGACTTTGCGAATCAGATTCTAACAATGATCGACAACGACAGATCTGATGTGAGCTGTATCTGGTTCACACACATTTGAATGGCACATTTGCATTTGAATGGAATCGTTAATAAACAAAACTGGAGATTTTGGGGTACCGAAAATCCTCATTTGCGTGAAGAAAAAGCACTGCATTCGCCTAAAGTTATGGCATGGGCTGCGGTATGCGCCAGAGGCATTATCAGACCCTTTTCGTACGAGAAACGATAACTACTGAACGTTATGTTACAATTTTGGAACAATTTGTCAGCCCTCAACTAGCGCTGGAGGATCGACCAGGTATCGACTGGTTCCTGCAAGATAGGGCTCGAACATCGATCAGCACATCGAACAAACAAAAGTTTTTCACTTTCTTCATGAATACTTTTGGAATAGAGTAATTGCGTCAGATTATCCTTAATTTACTGACACAGGAATAGCTTGGCTTCCATATTCTCCCTATCTGAGTCCTGCTGATTTTTTTCTGCGGGGCGCATTGAAAGACGCTGTCTATCGAAAAAAATCCTGCTACTCTACATGACGACCTTGAAATCGTTGATTGGTGTTGCATGCGATTCCATTTCCATCGAGACATTGCAAGACGCGAATGTTAAAATTTCATTGTTCGTTTTACGCCACCTCATTGTTTCGAACGGTGAACATTTTGAAAAAATCGTATTTTAATTGCAAAAGCTGCTTCACTGTATTTTTTTAATTAATTTTTTTTACTCCTTTCAGGGAAAGAGTTTTCAGCGCAGAGCGCCATCTGTTAACGATTTTTGTAACTAAATTTTCCAAACTTTTGTACACCATTTTTACAGTTTTGCTAATAAATGTACAGTTTACCGCATAATTCTACCGATTTTTGTTGTAGAGATATTTATTTTTGAAATCAGGGCTTATTCGCTGACCACTCTGTAAGATATTTGGCCTTATTTCTTTTACAAATAGATTTTCCGAACAACATAAGATTACTATTCAATTTATCATGAATCCTATACCGCCTTATAGAAAGAAGACTAGATTTGTCAGGTTTAAATGTTGGTCTTCTATTTCCTTTCCTGGAGTCTTCAAAAGGAGGGATTTTTTTCTTAAGAGTTTTTAACAACCGATATCCGGACACGTGAATTTAGCAATAACAGCAATGTCGTCTGCATAGCAGTTAGGAGCAAGTTATGACAGTTTGGGTGAAGTCAAACGTAAAACACATAAAGGAAATATTTTTTCAATAATCTGCATTGATTTATTAGCAGGTAAGTTAAGTATTATCGGTAGGTTAAGTATTCTTTTTAACCTACCAATTTGAAAAAAAAATATGATTTCGGAATAATTTGCGATTATTATATGTCACAGTTTTAATCAAACCGATACAAGAGCAAATGGGGTGCTAAAATTTAATGAAATACAAGCATGTCATAAAAACATGGAGAACGACACCTACTTCGCTTCATCCATGACTTTCTCTTTGAAGTAGCTATTAAAAACAATATAATCATTGCTACTACTGATGGCTTCATAAAATAAACTATTTGTACCAGATGGGTAATGGAAAGTAATTAGCATATTTTTATTCTCATATAATAACAGAGTTACTGAAATGTACGCATAAAGGGAATCAGTCGAAGGTCCAGTTTTTTTATGGAACTTGCAAATTGTTTACAAAGATTTAAGGAATTATCTAACGTAAATGAACTAGGTACTCGGCACTAGATCAGTGACAGCAACTTGAAATCAATCAAAGGGGCATTTACTCTCTGGGAAGAAGCTTTCGTTAAAAAGAGAACCGTAGCTTTGATTACACATCCAAGTTAGCACTTAGTGCTCAAGATGTTGCCATAATGAAATGTCATCCATAATACCAAATATGGTTATTTTAAGTAATGCTAAATTTACAACAAAATATTATTATTATTACATACTTTTTTAATTACTTAAACAATGAATTCCTTGAAGATAAACAGTTTTCAATTTTGTAGCTGTATTTCCATCGATTTTTCATGTATCACAATTAGTTGTAAACATGATTATTTAAATTACCAAATTACATTTCATGAATAATTCTATTAGATGTAACCAATTAGGAGGAATTTTGATGTTAAAATATACTCTACATGTTGATTGTTTTGTATTATATAAATTAATAAGTGACCTTAATAAACTTACACATGCTTTTTCTTTTCTCTTAGATTAAAGGTAATCTTTTTAAACACTTTTTGCACTTAAGCCAAAAATTATGCATACTCTTCAAGATAGAAACTGGCATGCAAATTTTATTGTAGTTAGTTTAATACAATATGAAAAATGATGAGAGTACAATGTTGCAAAATAAATTACTACTTTTTCAAACTTTCATTTTATATGTTTACAGATGTCCTTTACTGCTTCCCATTGTAAACGTAAAAGATGCTGCTTCAGATATCATAGATGCTGTTCAAAGAGAAGAGCGGTTAGTTACTGTTCCTCGGAGATGTCTCTTTCCTATTTTCGTTCTGAGGTATGTCATATAAAAATCTTCTGTCAGATTTCTTAAGATATTACACTCAAATACTTCATTTTTGTATGTTTATGGACTATTTATTTTTTCAGCTGCAGCAGATAGCAATAAGAATAATACATAAACACCAAAACTATATTCTTAGGAATTTTGTACATATTGTTACGTTATTTTCTTCTTTCACGTTCGTACGGGGTTCGTAGATTTGGAGTGAATAACGACGACATTTGATGAAGCATCGAAACACACTTTATTGGCCAGTATTTGTCAGGGCAGCTCCAAAACATGTTTTTACAGTCTTCGATGAACTACTATAAACACGCTGACACGATGAGCGACACAGCCTCCCGGCAAAGCACTAGAGTACAGCTCCCGACTCTGCTTTGTCTGAACTCCACATACTCTCGAGACTCTCCACGCTACAACTCGCGATGTACTCGACGACACACAGAGCACAGGTCCCGACTCTTCGGTTCAGTCGTTTCCGGAGCTTAACACACTCTCTCAATGATGCACTAACCGCGATACAGTAAGAGTCACTTCGATGCACTCGACGACCCACTCGGCACTTGCTGCCCGGCTGTCAACTTCATCGACTCCGCAGGGATTGATTCGCTAAACGAGACACCAACTCGATACTGACTATCTTGCACTATCGAGGAGGCACACTCTCCCTCACTGCGCACCAGCAGAGTTTATATAGCTTTTGGCTTGCGTTCGAGAACATTCTGGGCTAAACCGGTAAGAATTCGTTCCAGAAGGTTCTCCATCCGTCTATAGCATATCGCCAAACAGGCGATTTCTCGCCAAATGTGGCAACCCTGCCTGCTTTTGCTATTTTATGGTAACCCTAATACTGCTTTCCGAGGAAGCTTTCTTACCACGCCTGTACATTTCGTAACAATATATAATTTTAGTGCAATTATATGTGAATTGTATTTTTCTGTATAACGTTAACATGAAAAACCTAGAGAGAGATCATGTTCTTCCAGAACAGTAAGAATACAAGGACAAGTATATTTAACATTGAATAAATGGGTGCCTCGTAAATTTGGCGAGCTATCGCTAAAAGTCGCCAAACTTGGCGACATTTTGGTCCGGTCCCTGTATCACTATAATAAGTATTGTAATTGATAACTATATTATCTGTAAACGTAATTCAGCCCTCATATTGCCTTCTAGTAATTTTGGAAAGCAGAGACTACTAGAAATATTTCGGCGGAAAGATGCAAACCGTATAAAGCTCTCAGTTGTTGTTCTTACAAACTGTTAGTTCAGCGTGAGTTCAGAGTACTGCGATATCTTCAAGTCAATTTAACATTGAGTAAACGGCTTTCTCGCTAACTTGGCAAGCTCTCGCCAAGATGGCGACGGTTTTTTCGCCAACTTTAGCTGATTGTAACTGATTAACTGTAATTGATGTTCTGTGTAACTGTAACCATATTCGGCCCTCATATCCGCTTCCTGTTTTTTCGAAAAGCAGAAAGTACCAGAAATATCACGGTGAGAGGGTGAAAATTATATATGACCGGAAAAAGCGTCTGTGTCCGTGTTAGTTGATCATGAAATCGGAGTACTGAGATATCTCTGGGTTAGCTTTGTTCTTTAGATGATCTTTGCATTGCGTTCTGTTTAACATTCTTAACAGTTTGAAGTGTAACTACCGTCTGTATTTTGTGATATTGTGAAGAGTTCTACAACTATTTTTGTGGAAAGTTCCAGAACTTTAAAGTATTTCTTTTGATAAAATAAATTTTATTAACCTATCATCGGACCCGCATGTATTCAATCTATTACGAACTCATACGCAAGCAACAATATAAAAAATATTCGAGCATACCTTTTTCAATCAAAACTTGGTATCAGTTAATAATTAGTGTTCAAAATATCAACTGAATTTAACTTAATTTAAAATAAGTTCGTCATTAAACAGCACATTCTAGCAAACGAAGATTAGATGCTATTTGGATCTTATTCTTTATAATATTGAAACTTCTTATAAGTTTACAACTCATACAATAATATATAGAGATAATTTTAAGGATAAGCAGTTAGTTATAAATAATTAAATTATGTAGTTAGATAACCTTAGTTATTATGGATTTACATGGCCACTATTAAATTTTATTTTTTAACACTATTTGTTAAAAAGACCTATTAAAATCAAAATCAAATGAAATTTCACTGTTTAAAATACATGTAATTTATGACATTGATTCTTAAATAATATTAGAATAATTATACATTAAAAGCTACAAAACATTTATTTTATGTTTTCTAACAACAGCACTCAAAATATTTATCCTTCATTTTAATTTGAAGCCTTCCCAAACATTTGGCTTTTGTTGTTTGACTTCTGAATTAGAATTTGGCTAATTTATATCGATTTCCTTCTCTTTAAGCATCTTTCCTAAGAATTAGATATTTGTCTCAATATGCAAACCAATGCTCTCCCTAGTTTCTGCGTGCTTTATCTCCTAACTTATCAACCTCTCCACAATGTACCTATGAGGGTTTACTGGATCTGGTAAAAGTTAAATAGTCCAAAATGTCAGACATACATGAAGCAATTTATCGCTATGTCTAAAAAATAACTACAATATCAGATGAAGGTTTAAATAAGCCTCTTATTTAAAAAGAACGTAGGACACGAAAGCATGTTCTGATGCTAGCAAAATCAATTACAGCTCACGGTGATGTAATTAAACACGAACAGGCAAATTCAAATTTAAAAATGTGGACTAGTGGTCAAAGATTATACAATTTAATTTTAATTTGATCTGGCCCGGTAACTCTATCATATGAGGAAATAGAAATTATAATAAAGGCTGAAATCATAAACATTTGGGTAATTTACATAATAATAACTGCACATACCTTTGAAGAATAATTTTCTTTATGTGTTCAGTTTCTTTCTACAACACGTTTCCTTTTCATTTTAGAATTTTGGGATTTAATTAAGGATTTCTGTTATTCTAAAAAACACTACATGCATTTAGAATATATAGAAAAAGGTGGATAAATTTATTTCTTTAGTAAAATTAATATTCAGAAGAAATATAAAATATAGATGGTATAGGCCGGGTACAGAGCTGGTGTGACAGAATTTTTAGAATTTAGTGACACACGGAGCAACAAAATCTAGAAATGGCAAAACTTTTAGAATTTAGAGCAGGCATTGGAAACATAATTTAAAAAGGCACTAGGCAGCAGAATTTAGGATCCACAGAGATTGCATCAGGTGGGAAATCCCTAGTGCCCGCTCTGTGTATGATGCATCAATACATATTAGATGAATCTTTTAAATTGTGTGTTTTCAATTTTTTTATTAATAAAAAAATCCCTTTCTATAATGCCTGTCCAAGTGATAAGATTAGAAGCATTTTTGATATTTTCCATGCTTGTGTCTAGTGAAAAGTAAAGAAAATAAAGGGAAGATAAACATGTTGAGAAAAAGATTCTAGTATCAGAAGTAAAACATTCAAATATTGTTTTCATTGTTCTTCCAGACGTTCTCCAAAAAGTAAGAAATTCATCACAAACTTTCTGTAAAATACATCCGTGTTGATACCACAGAGATATTTTCATTCTGTCACATATTTTTCGAATCTTCTATAATCGTGGGTCTATAAATCTTGCCTTCAAATCCTTTTAAACTTTCCAAGCTGCAATGTCTAAAATCCTAAAGAAATATTATCCCTACCAATTTGTAACAGCAAAAAGACGGAAATATTTTGAAAAAAAAAAGGGGGAGAGGGAAAAAAACTGATGCATATTCTGAGAAGTTTGAATATTCTGAAACAATTACATGGTAAGAACTTTTACTATGAAAAAATTAAAAAGAAGACATTTTTAATTAATTAAATAGCTAATTTTGCTTTTGTTAAGAGCTGTTTCACAAATTGTGCTTCATAGCATTATACCTTGTTTATTTTTCAGATTGAAAATATTGTATAATAAGTTACCAAAATGAAACTTTATAATATGACAGCAAAAAATAAAATGTTTTATTTTAATGTTATTTTTTAAATATAATTTCAATATATTACCATTATTTTAATGAAATTTATCAATGTTACGATGTTTTAAAAAAATCGTCGAAAAATTCCCAGATCTCGGAATTAAAAATTTTCAATAGAAACTGATCTTAAAATTGCCAAAATGTTGATAAGTCGCCAAATTTAGAACCGTTTAATAAAAGAATTCACATCCCAAAAAGCGAAAAGTTGTTTAAGAACTCTTTATTAGAAAAAATGAATTTCGAAATGTTTATGTTTCACTTCTTGCTTAGAAACTCTAGTATCCCATCATTTATATTAGAATTAAATTAAAACCCATGAACCCATTCAAAAGATAACCATCAAAATTAAGGACTTTTAAGGACCAAAAATCAATTCCAAAAAATCTAAGGACTTTTAAGGACCATGTGAACCCTGATTTAAGGTAAAAAAAAGTCAGAAATAAATTTAAAAAAAAAAAAAAAAAAAAAAAAAAAAAAAAAAAAAAACTTGCTGTTGTTTATTAACTTAAAAATAACTGCTTTAAGTGCGATATTTAATTTAGTCATGCTGTAAATCCTACACATATTTAAACAAAATATACTTTTTTATTGCATTATTTAAACCAATCAAGGGAAGTTCATTCAAAGAAGCATTTAACGGAAATTCATACATCATGCAAAAACTTTTATGGTATTCTACCCCATGAAAAATTTACTTTCCAAAATAGAATCATGCAATTAGGATTTTTTTAATTATCATGCAACAAAATTCATAAATAAATTAGATATATACAATGATCCTTTTCTGAGATATCCTATTCCTGTCTTCCAAACGATTCTTTTCTGCGATATTCTGACAAAAATTAGTGTTCTGCTTTTGAATAAATTGTTCAATGAGGGCTAGAAATTCATCGAATTGATGAGGTGTCATCAATATCAATTCGATGAAAGATGAGGTTCTTTTCTCGTAAAAGAAATTACGATGCATTCAAGTGCATTTCTTCAATTAAATTATTTACATCTCCTTGCTGCAATCATCTGTCACAGATTAATATAAAGCATTGCATTCTGCTTCTCTTACATAAAGCAAGCAATACTTACTGATGTATACTTACTTGTAAAGTAAACAGAAAATACAATGATGCCAAATTCTATGAAATGAATTTTAAATATATAGTAGAGGGAAGTTATATAAATATTACTAGTTACAGTTTTGAGAGCTGCCCAGATAGTATAGTGGCTAAAGGAACCTACTGCAGTATCGAAGGGCTCGGGTTCAGTTTTTTTTCCCCCCTGAAGTAAAAGAATTTTATTGACAAAATAATACTGATATATAGAAATGGTTATATTTACTTTTGATGGGCAGCTGTTATTCCAGGTAAGACAAATGGAGAAGCAGCACAACTAAAAGAAAATATACCACTGGGGGGTCAATTCAACGGCACTGTGCTGCACATCATGAAGTGTATAAAATACAATAACATATTAAAAGATTAAAACAGCTTTGTTCGTAGACTTTTCATAACTATAAATTTGCCATGTGGGAAAATAATTTGTAAATTGGTAACAATTTTTTTAGACATGATTTGCATTACAGAATGAACGATTTTCTAACTTTTCGAAATTAATTGACATTAGTAAAACATTTTTGGCATCTAATGTTGACTATAAGAACAAGGTTTCACTTCAATAAATTCGATAAAAAAATAAAAAATAAATTGTTTGAAAGAAGATCACTTAGATATGTTTATGCAAGTAAAATCATATTTAAGTAGTTGAAACACTATAAATTTGGACAGCATGCATGCTGAATGGTTAAATCTTAAAGACAGAAGAAAAAAGGCTTAATATATACTTATATAAACATAGCATTTACTTATTTTTTTGCTGATTAATCAAATAATAACTAATCATGATTACTATAATTATTACTACTGTAGCTAAGCTTTATTTTAGCAAATAATTTTGTTATTTTTACATGCATATTAATGTATTAATTTTTATAACTAATAAAAAGTTTCTTAACATATATGTTTTTTTGAAAATAGTAAATGCTATTAAAAGAGAATTAATTTAATAAAAAAATAAAGAGTAATAAATATAAAAAAGTAAAAAATAAAAGCTGCACCAAACGATACTTGTTAAAAAAAAAAAAAAAGAGTTCCACATCAGTAGTAAAAAAATAGAGGGAAGACTGAAAAGGAGGATTGCAATTTGTATATTATTATAAAATTTTATCATCACCTTTTGATTATAGACAAAATCGAACAGAAAAATCGGAAAAGAAAGAAACTTCTGCAATCCACAGACCATAGGTTTATCACAGCTATGGTATAAAATAATACTTTTTCCAAAATGTTATTTAAGTAAGATGAAATAATTTTTGAAATTATTCACTTTTTCATGTGATGAGCAATATTTTTTTATGATATCAAAGATAAATAAAAGAGCTTATGCAACATCAACTGGTAGCAGTAAATTTTGGTGCTTTTGATCAATATTTATATCAGACAGACTATTAGCTGAAAAGAATAAGATGTAAATGCATTATCAGTTTACGGTTTTTTAACATATGACAGACTTTCTTTTTCCACAGGTTATTTCCAAGGAAAGTAACTCAACTGATTCTTGATTTTCTGCAGTATAACATTATCCCTCACAATTTAGAAAAGGTAATTCCCACTCAAGAAGAGACAAACTGATGCACCTTTGGGATCTGAGGATGTATATTTGAATGAACAAAAAAAGTGTACTTATCAAAATAAATTTACAAATTTCACATTAAATTGTTGCTTTCTTCTGTATACCTTCAATTTGGAGAGTTCTCAAAATAGCAAGAAGCTCATATGACCACATAAATTCGAATGAGTTTCTAATATATTAAAAAAAATGAATACACCAAATGCTTGGTAATACATTACTGTCATTTAAACGCATATAACATTAAATGGAAAATTCAAATACTAAGTAAATAAATGTAATACTGCATAATATCAGCAACATGTTTAATATGCCAAACAGTTTAACAGCAACATGTCAATATACCAAAATACAACAAACTGGAATTTAAATAAATTTACCTTCACAATACGGAAATAGTTAAGTATCTTTGTTCATACACAGTATGTCTTACACTATAATACAACATGAAAATAAAATTATTTTCGGAACAGTTCACATTTACTTTGCTTCACATGAAGCTACCTATTAATATCATAAGAGAAGCTACAGGACAATGTAACTGGTGCACAGACTTCACATTTTCTCCTTCAGTGAACAATCATAATTTTTATAAACTTAAACATACCTCAACCATCAGTATTCAACTACTGAGATGCATTAATGCCAGCTTTTCATGTTATTTCACTGAAATAAAAGCACTTAGTTTCATTTTGTTCATGATATTCTGAATGGCAAGTAAATAAACAAACAACTACAATACATTAGAACATGCAGGAAAAAATTGTAAAGTTTTTTTCAGGTGGGAAAAAATTGCTGTTAAAAATTTCTAATGATAAAAACTCCCATTTAATAGTAATTGAAACGAAAATTAAAAATTACATTAGAATTGATATATAGTTTTCGTATCTATAAATCAGTTTTAGAAATTTAATGCTCACACATGCATTGAACTTAATTTTGAGTAACACTATTTATTACTGAGATAAACATGTATCACATATATACATGCACATGTTAAATAATAATAAATTCCAACAATTTTTATTTAGCTTTTCAATTTTTTAAGCATAAATAATCTTGCTATAAAAATATAACTCTTAATAAGAACTCTTTAAGCCCTTTAGAGGACAATAATGAGTTTATCTGGCATTCAAAGTCTGCACTACAATGCACAAGAAAGAAATTCAGCTTGCCTGAATGTTCAGGATTAGAAAGGTATATGAATGAATCCTACTTGCAAAGCAGGTCTCTGTTCAAATGTGTACAGCCAAGTTGGCCTCATTTTTGGCAGTAATCCAATGTTCTAATGAAGTAATATAATATCCAATTAAATAACCCAAGGAGTAACTTTGGGAAACTAATCGAGTTTGATAAATGTAAATGATATTATCAACATCACATAATTTTCTGTGTAATTAAGGAAAATATTACTTCGCATACTGGCTGCTTTCACATTTCAGCAGTAATTTTAACAAAAAAGAGAAAGTTTCATAAACTCTTATAAATTAATGAACTGGATATAAAAGAGAACTAAATTAAAAATAAGATTATTCGAATCTCAGGTATTGAAAAAATTCTGATATGTCTCAGTGTTCAGTATGGAAAACTTGCAATGATAATTTCAGCCATCGGCTATAATCTTATAAAATTATTAAATATCCTTTAGTGACCACTGAATAAAAATAATTTTGCACACAGAAAATTTAATAATGGGAGAGAGATTCCTTTTTTTTTTTTCAGACTGCACTACATGAATGTAAAATGAACGAGTTAAAAAAAAAAATATTTTGGCACTTCTTGACTGAGAAGCAAATAATAAAACATAAAGCAGCAAATTCAAGACAAATAAAGTTGAGTTATTTAATTCTAATTTAAATCACAGTTGCTGCAAGTGCACTTTTTTATATAACTTCTCACTAAAATCAGGATCAATGGTTATAAAAGCAAAGTTTTAGACATACATTACAAGTACCAAAGTTGTTAATAATAAATGACCATGACAGTATGTACATAACAATAACTTATGATTCCCTGGGAAGCAGAAAACATACTGAATATGCTTATAATTTATTCTAAAATAATACATGTAAAATTTTTGGATTCCATTAGAGAGCAAAATGTATGATTTTACTTCCAAACATACAGATAACAAAGTTACTGAAAAATTACTGACTTTGCACATTAGAAGAGATTGATTTACTAACGAAACAAAGATATAGTTCATGAAAAATTACTGCATAAAAAGGCTGTAATTTAAGAACATACAGATACTAATTGCATTATACTGGCAAATAAGAAAATGAATGTTGCATATAATTATGCTTTTGTTTGAAAATCCTTTTCAGTTAATAATAATGAAACAACTTAAAGAACTAAAATAAAATCAATGGTCTTATCATCTGAGCTCTAAGAAAGCATTAGTGTAAAGAAAATTATATTCTGAATCAATAAATGAAACTACTGATTCAAAACATATATTAAAAAAATATATATATATCAATAATACTTCCTAGTAAACATGAATGAAATAATTTTAGTTTGGCAATCAGATTTTTCTGATTTACGAAATAACAAAGAATTAATAATACGATATTAAAAACAAATGAGTAAAATAGCAAGGATAAATGCTGGATATCAGGATACACATAAATGGAAAAATATATTTATAAAAGGAGTGTCTGGAAATATGAGATCAGTAAAACTAGAACACATTATTTGCTTAAGAGATAAATGTTAAATTATAATGGTCAAATTATAAAAAAAATAAAACTAGTTTCTGATACTCTTACTTAGCTAAACGCATCCTTATCATCATCGAACTTAATCAAAGCTAAACTCATCCTCACTGACTGCTTACACAGATAATTAAATTCCACAGAATTTCCATTAAAACTAAAATTCAAACGGTAAAATTAAAATTTCAATAAATAAATAAAATAAAATAAACCACAAGCAGTTTATAATTCTTGAACTTTTTAAATACAGATAACACACTGGGCAAAAGAAATCAGTTTATTTATGGAATCTAAAATTATGATCCAATTTCAATATTAATGGAATGCATGCAATAAAAACTTACTATGGAATATTTGACATTTATAATTAAAGAACAAATAATTTAAACTCTTGGTTTTATAGAAAGAATAGTAAAGGTTTTAAGACTAAACAATATCTAAACTCAAAATTCATGTTTTCAACTGTATTAAATTATAGGAAACTACTGTAAAATATACCACTGTCTTGTTATACTAGCTTTGTAGCTGAAAACTGTCCTGCATCTTAGTATAACAAATTATTTTTCTCATGCTATGTATATAGCATACACATGTCAAAAATTATTTTATGAATATTAATTCTATAAAAAATGAATACTTAGAAAACATTTACATTAAATTTTTACTCATTATTTAACACCAAAGTTCTGATCTGAAGATCTGTATATCACAATTTAGCACTATCACAGGCTCAGAAATTATATTTCTAGAGCCTGAGAAAAACATGAATAAATAGAACTATACATGCAATTGAAAAATTCCACATATTAAAGGTCTACATTTTCATGGACAACAAACAGTACACACTATGATTACAACAATAAAATGGACACTCATAGAAGAATAAAATATAAATGAGCAGCATATAAAAACAACTACACAAATTTACGATAAAACACCTTTTTAAAAATATATATTCGGCTGAAAAAAATCACAATGCATATTAACAATAAAATTTACAAACCAAATTTATATTACAATTTAAAATAAAAAGTATGATGACACTGCATTGTTTATGTAAAAGGAAAACAATAAATGTAATGTAGTAGTTCTCATTAAATTACAAAATAAGATTCATAACTTAATATTAGCAAAAAATTAAGAACAACAGTTTTTTGTATGGACTAGAAATGTATTTATAATAAGGTTTTATTTAAACATGATTATGTACTGTAGTTTTCTCAATTCTGATTTTTTTTCAATGGTAGAATAAAGGGTTAAAAAACTCCCTCAAAATATAAAATATGTAGAAACTCTTTTCTACATCACTACCTTCATCACTTCATAGAAGAGACACAGATCATTCTCTGTTCCATGAAAGAGGAAAATAGCATTGCAATTAATGAAAATGAAATTTTAGAATCATCCATACAGAATATGCACTGTTTACATACAATTATTCATCAAATATATTAAATGATCTTTATAACTAACATGAAGATAAATTTTGAATTAAAATTATTCATCATAAGCTAAATATTGTTCACAGTTTTTACTGAGAAAAATACCCAACAAAAAGAAATTACCAGAAGATTTAAAAGGTAGTACAAATTTTCTACATAAAAAAGGGAAAGCAGGAAAATAACTTCTTAGTTAAGTCTTATTGAGACTTTTTAGCAGTACATTATAAAGAAGTACTAACATTTTGACATTACTGAAAATATTAAAAGACCTGGAAAACCAAAATTAACAAAAAATGCAAATACAAAGATATTCAAAAGAACTTTGCAAGTGTGATCAAATTGCTACATCTGAAAACCAGGCAAACTTTGATAATGCTATGGAGTGAAGTTATCTGCAGAAGCAATAATTATATGCTTATATGCAAAGAAGATTATTATATATTCATCAAAACTAAAACGAAACCCCTGAAATTTCATATGCAGATAATAACATATCTGAAATGGGCCAAAAATACAACTAAAGTGGAAAAAAAATGGAAAATGTAATTCTTTTAAACAAAACTTTACAGTCTTTTTCACTGTTTAACAGATATATGTCTTTAGTTATGGAAATTGCTGAATCACAAGTTTAAGAAGCACCTAAAAGAAAAGTTTCAGAAAGATTGCTCATCACTTCTTACATGAAGAATCTTCTGATTTGGAATTATATGTCTTCATTGGGGGTTTCAAACGGCATTATAGTATTCAAATCATTTATGAAGAAATTCTAGAATTTTTTCGCTCTGACTGCTGGGGAACAATTAGTTGATAAGTGATTTGTATTTCAAATAAAATCAGCTTTGATATAAAATTAAAATTTTAAAGCAGCAGTAAAGAGAAAATAACATGGATATTATTTAACTGTTCGCCAAAAGTGATCTGAATATTATGGTAAAATATTTAAGATATATAAAATTAGCAAAGCAACAACCTTGTGGTGTAGATTTAGTCAAGAACTGAATATCTACTTCAAGGACAAACAGGCACAGGTAATTCCTAATTAGAAACAAATAAAAAAGCCATGGTCCTATTTACGCCCTACAGCAGTAAAATGAATGGGAAGCTAGTGCTATCTGTCAATGAAAGAAGAATGATAGCACTAGAAAGAGTAATGAAACTGAAAAAAATAAGTTAATAGAATTTTAAATTCATTCTATTTCATTAAACAGAATCATAATTCTGACTTTGGGTCTTCAAAAATTATCCAAAAATAGTCCAGTCGTGAATTGGATTTTCTTGAAGCTCTTCACATTAAAAAATATTTATCTTTTTTAATTAATGATTTAACTCCAATTCAGTCCTTTCTAACACTTTTAAAATTCTATTTTCAATTTTCAAAACCATTTTTGCCAACAGATGCCAACATTTTTGCCATTTTTGGTTTCTGCTTTGCTCCCGATGAGGCATCTGTTTGTCTTTCAAACTAATAGAGTTCTTGACAAAATCTACACCAAACAGAAAGTTGCTGCTTTTCTAATTTTAAGTTTTCCTTTGGCATGTTTCTTCGCTGTTTTTAATTAGGAGATATTTACATGAATTATGTTAAATAACAGTCTTTTATTGAAGAGGGTTTAAGGACAACTGTATTTTATGTTTTGGTGCAAAATTACAGCAAATGAAAGCAGAAAATTAATATATTCAATGCCAAAACAAATTCTGAATAACTTGAAAGCTAAAAAAGATCTATTAAAATATTAATTATTGCATTTGTCTAATATTTTTGTATTAAAAACATAACAGTCTAATATTTCTGTCATAACACTGATTTCACAAACTGAATTGTCTTTGTATAGCTATATACATCTTTAATTATTAAAAAATATATTTTAAATAACAACACTTCCTTTATAATAAAAAAATCACAGTTATAATTTATGTTCATATTAATTATAAAAGTGAGTGGTATACATTGGAGAGAGGTTAGTACAGGGATTACAGACAGCAATTTCAGCTACTGCAAAATTTTGTGAAAAATATCACACAATTTAAACTTTTGACAAGTTGTGGTGTCTAACATATTTCATGCATTTTCATTCAGTTCATTTCATACATTTTATTGCTTATATATACATATAATTCATAATTTGATATAAAATTTATATATATTTGTTCTTTTACAGCACATAATCATTTCACTACTTAATTATTTACCTAAATATAAATGCTTAGTAATGAAGCTCATGAAATTATGAGTGCTTCTTCATTAACTGTGTTGTTTCACTGCTAAAATTATATTATTAATGTCACTGAAATAATTCATTGTAGCAGCATCCGATTTTTTAAAAAATATTACAAGTCCATACATTTTCATTAAATGTGTTGTTTCATTGTTAAAATTACATTAATAATGTCACTGGAATAACTGTAGCAGCATCTGCATGATCTTTTCAAAAATAAGTTCCGATATTTTTCCCCATTATGGCATTGTATACCTTGCCAAAAAAAAAGGGGGTTACAGTTCTATATCTCCCATTCTACTGGATCGATTGCCGAAATTTAACTTGAGTTTTCTGTGTCCTGAAAGTACAACTTAAGTTATATATTAGATTTATATACAGCATTGTTCTTAACAATGTCTTTAGTTATTTTTTTCACATTTATTTGTTTCTAGTTATTTTGACACAAAATCGGACTTTTGAAACATGGAAAACATATGCTAAATTTTAACAAATGGTCCAGTAGAATGGAAGATATAGAGCTGTTCCATTTTTAGCCCAAAGGGGCTTTGTCCCTGAAGGACTATTGTTTTCGTTTTGCAATTTTGCGTTGAATCACTATAAATATCCGTTTCACTTTTCAAACTGTTGCCACCAAATGCTAGAGTCCTGCATTATATTTGAAGAAATTAAATAATGAAAAATCTGCATAAATGTATGCATATTCTATGGCATTGTGATGAAAATAACAGTACCTAGAGCCATCCAATTTTGAATGAAGTAATCCTCCTGCGAATTATGGGTATCTGGAAAATCCAAATTTGAAATTTGGAATTTGTTTTATTATCGATTTCATATTTTGCAAAACTTTAATGAATTTTTGATTAACAAACTCAAGGATTTCAAAGCGAGCAATGGCAACACTCTACGGGGGGAACCTTTTTATCTCCAACGTGCGGAAATGTGTATCGGAAATTCTTAAGATATGCTCATTTTAAAATTATTTTGCAGCATTGCTACTGAACTGAATTTTATGGTTTAAATGCAAAGAACATGTTATTTAATAAATGAAGGTAACACAAAAAACATTAAAAAAACACCCCTTTGGACATAATTTAAAATCTGAAACTTTTTCAGATTTTTTAAGATATTTTATTTATCCTTTATTATTATTATTAATATTTTTTTTTTTTTTTTTTTGTGTGTGTGTGTGTGTGTGTGTGTGCAAGGTATACACATCAAATGTGTTACGAGGAATAAGTTGATAACCACTCACTGAAATTAAATGCATGAAACATATGGAAGTAAATAGAAAGAAAGTGCCTGTTCTACTTAAACACTAATTTCTTTTCTTGTCCATACTTCAGGAATGTCTTCTTTAGATAAAGGCTGTGTTACAATATCCTTCTCTTCATCACCACAAATAATTGTTGACGAACTTGCAGCACCTATTGATAAATCTGGTCCTGGATCTCCATGAAATGTTACATTTACTGTTGGGAGGCTGATTTTTCTGGGAGTTCTGTTAATTTTCGCAGCTAAAGCAGGGTCTCTGGTTCTAGTAGAGGCAGATGATAAACTCCCAGAACGAGGTCTACTAGATCGATGAACATGTTTCTTTTTAACAAACTTTGGCACATCCATTCGACCTGCTTTTAAAGTAGTCAGAGGTTCCAATTCATGACTTTCACTAGTTGGAATTTGATTTGGATAACTTGCACTACTAGATGATAAAGTAGACTCGGACAAGGCATATGGATTTTTCTCAACTGGCACAGAAGATGTTTCACAACAATTAAAGGATGGATAGTTCAATTGCAATTGTCCATTTTGTGGTCCAGCAATACTAAGAAGTGAAAGAAAAAAAAAAGTGGAATATATCCAACTGACAGCCATGAGGATAACTAAAAATGTTCCAATTTGCAAATAGGCTAAAACAACTGAAGGGAAGACTAATGCCCCAGCCATGAATGTAGTAAAAGCTGCCATTGCAACAGGACTTCCCACACGACTTAAAGCAAAAATAACAGATGATTCTCTGTCTTCTTGAGTTGAAAGTCTGTATGCAACACCATAATGTAAAGTCAGATCAACTGCTAATCCAATGGCTATTGACACTGTAGTGCTTTCCAAAACATTAAGTTTCCAACCCAATAAAACTAAGGATCCTACTGTGACAATTATTACACATGAAATAGTGAGAATGGCATAAACACTAATTAATAAATTGAGCGTAGTAAACAATAAAGCAAGAAAACATACAGCAACAGCGACACCAATTGCCACAACTGTGCCTTTTGATAAACTATCTTGCAAATCAAAAAATTCCAATTCACTAATAAACCATCCATTTTTTAAACCCTTTGGAGCATCAGCCATCATTTTGATAACCCAACTATTAACAGCAGTTTTAAATTCATACATTTCATTGTAAGAATTTGAATATGAATAAATGCTGTCATACTGAATGACAACTGCTTGAACTTTTCCACTTGACTTTGAAAAGCGTAACCCTTCTACTGATGAGACCACAAAATATCCAGGTCTATGATGCATCATCATTACTGCTTCCTTGATGCAGTAATTGAATATTTTCTCACTAAATGGAAATTTTGACGTTTCACAACATGGTGTCCTGTCCATCATTGAAATTCCATCGACACAACGCCTTTCCATAAAGTTCTTGAAAGTCTCTATGAAACAATTAAACAAAAGAGGCCCACTAGTGGACTGATAAAAACTCTGATTACGCAAACTTATGCAAAAGTTATACAACCAGCTCTGAGATTCTGGTAAAGCAATATTGAATTCTGGATCAAATACTATATCGCCACGGTCATAAGGGTTTAAGTAATTTCCTGAATCAATAGGAAGCACACCCCACACAACACGAACCGGTAATTTTCTATACAAATCTTGTTCTTTAGCTTTTTCAAACCAGAAATGCTTTTTTAAAAATAATTCATATTTTTCAAAAGGATGGTCAGCCTTGAATAACTGAAATTCTTTGGAATCAGGAAGCTGAAGCCTTGGGTAATAGAATACTACCACAGCCCCAGCAGCAGCTAAAGCACTGAACAGCACCAACCAAAAGTATTTTGATTTTATTATTATACAAGGCAGTATTTTTTCAAAGAAAATCCGAGATGAATCAGAGAAGTTGTAATGTAATTTCCAGATAGCATTACATAATGAAGAGCACCACCATATTTGTTGAAACTGTGGTAAATATAATCCAAGTGGCGGGATACACAGACAGCAAGTTGCAGAGCACCATTTTTCAGCCATGATAATAGATGCTGGAAGCCAAGAGACTGTGAATATGAAGTTGGCTAACACAGCAGTCCCAGCAAATATACTATAAATTTAAAAATATAGTCAGACTCAATACAATAATATCATTAAAAGTTACATGATTATTCATAGAAAAACATAAGAAGAAAATTTCAGCAATAAATATAACAAAAATTAATAAAGAACTACTACTGCAATGATAATATTTTAAAGCATGGGTAATCTCTAATTTACCACTTAAGAATGAATAAATTCTTTTGGAGCACTACAACAATGGATATGGCATCTAACCAGAATGCAGTAATAAATTAATAAAAAAGTTGAATTGTATGCAATAAAATACATCTACCAATGTATAGTTTCAATTAATATATGTATAAGAGGCAATTTCCCTCAGAAAGTCCGTCCTCCACAAAGGCAACACTTCTCTTACGCAGATAGCCCTCAAGCGATCTGCTGTAATCAAATAAATCAGACTAATTGCCGTAATCAAATTAAAATACTTAATATGAATAAACAACAATTTGATTGATTGGCCTTTATGACATCTTTTGAAACTAACCGCATTTGAACTTTTTTTTTTTTTTTCATTTTAGCACAAGATAGAAATTTATTTCCTTTGATAATTAAATATACATCTATATCTGTTAGATGGATACAGACCATGAGGCATGGGTTCCTGGGCCGAAGCCCTATCTAAGACTTATAAATATAGATAGCCTAATTAATGTGTAAATAGCATTTCAGAAGGTATAGATAGCATTTCTGATGATAACTAAATAAGTCCTCAGTTGGGGCCAGAGTCAGGAAAACTAGTGATTGGCTGATAGAGAGGTTAGCACCAGAGCAAAGAAAACCACCAGCTTTGTTACAAGAACATGGGGTAATAATTTTAACAGGGTTGCCAATAGATGGCAGCCCATATGCAAACAATGTATCAGCAGCAGAAAATAATAATGCATGTTTATATGCAACATAAAAGTGACTAAATATGACAAATAAAGCAGCAAGATATGAAAAATAAAGAGAAGCGAACAAATACAAGCTATAAAAAGGAATTGAGTGCACAAAATGGCCGCTATTACACAGCTATAAATCAATTAATCAATACTGTTTAGGAAATAAATTATATATGACAGATGGATATTTGTATGTGAAAATTGCAATAAAAATCAGAAAAGTTAAAAAAATTTTCAGTAGAAACTACATAGAATGAAATTATATTGTGCAGTTGTATATACAGTACAAAGTATGTAATCCAGACGTCCATTATCCGGAATGATCTATAATCCGGACCTCAAAGCCACAAACTTACGCATGCGCGTTTAATGCGTGCGTCCGCTATGCATGCACGCAAAGCGTTTACACACATGCGCTTCCGATAGTGAAGAAAGTGACAGAGATGTTATTGAAAATGAAAAAATTTCGATTGACAAGTTAGTTGATATTCTCGACACAGCAATTACAGGATTTAAACAGTGGAACTTTGTAACTGAACAAGAAATTATGTCTGTTTATAGAATTAAAGAGAAAATATTAGCACAAAAAACAATGCAATTTAAACAACTTACATTGAAAGAAATGTTTAATAAAGTAAGCAAATAAATATTAAGCTTTTTTTTTGTTTTGTTTTTTGTAAATTTTGATACCCTTTAGATCATAATTGCTCTTTATTTCATAAATTATGGTTTCATATTTTTAATTGTATAATTTCTGCATGCCATCTTACCAGATTTAAACTGATGATCTATATTCCGGAAAAAACCCTAATCCGGAATCGCTGAAGTCCCGATGAGTCCGGATTACGGATTTTGTACTGTATATATATATTCTAAATTACAGAAATAATTACTTAATTTATTCTGTTACACAATTATTTCACACACAGCAGCGGATGGCTATTAAAATATTTAGCTGTAAAATGATTTTGAATGAATATTTAAGGTAAAAGATCACCAAAATAATTAAAAAGTTCAGAAGAAAAATTAGTTTTTACAGAACTAATTTAGAAATAGCAACTACACTGATTTTGGTAAAAAAGCTTTCTTAGAGAGAGAGATTTTTCAAATTACAGGAGAGTGCTAATTAACTGACTTGTCAAGACCCATCTCAAATTAGATAAATGGACAGACAGAGTAAAATTTATCTGAGATCGACAGGTTATCGAAGACAATAACATTTTGCCTTCGATTTAAAAAAAAAAAATTATGATTTAATTCATTACAATCCTTCCTAATTTATTAAGAAACTTGGTACTGCGTTTTGCTTCAAGAAGAATTCTTTTTACATGTAAACATATTGAAAATTTCTTTTAAGCACAAAAGCTGAATTTCTTCACAGCCTCTCTATCCCTCTAATCACCTCACAGCTATTTTTAAGATTTAATTATCTCAGTAAAAGGCAAGCCTAACTACTGTTTTCCTTTCCCTGATTTTTGATTCATCTTGGACATGCCATGATATCATAATCATTAAAATTTAATCAAGATAATATTTATCAGCATTCATTCACTAATTTAATTTACATTAAAATTAGGTTTCCATCAATATCCTTCACAGAAATTTTTTTGCAATCCTGATAATTTATTAACATATTATTCAGTTCCATTATTATCACCCTATTTAACTGTTCTGATTTGCATTCTGACTCTGAAACTGAAGTGCTTTATATTAATTAGTGACCTATTACATTCTGAAAGATTTCAAAATAAAACCAAACCTCATTATCATGTCACTTGGCTTATAAGTTACTTTGCTTACCGGGCCAGATTTTTTTGGTCCAGAATAATTCCTATAGTAGCTCACATGTGTTTTTGGACACCTGCATTTTTTAAAATTTTATCTGAATAGATCTTGTACTAAATAATGAAACATGAATTTTCATATATGAAATTTTTTCCTTATTTTAAGCCTTGTTTGTAATGAAATAAATATCAACAAAATATTTTTTGCAATAAAATAATTTGTTCAAAAAATTTTAATCAGCAACTCATATAATTCATCCAATCCAAACTTTTGTTAAAATATTTTGGTAAACAAAGTTTCTTTTCTTTTCTTTTCCTTTTTCTTTTCTTTTCTTTTCTTTTCTTTTTTTTTTTTTTGGTGCTTTAAATGTACATACATTACAAGAATTATTGTCTGCATTTGAAAATTTTTACTTACTTAGCAAAATATATTAATTTGAAGTGGCAAGGCACTAGAAACTAAGGATAAGTTCTGTTAGTAATTTAATACTCATCTTTTCAGAGATGGTCAAAATATTCAAAATTTCTTGATACTCAACAATTTTCATATAAAGTGTTCAACTATCTTTTGATGTAATAAAACAATGAGAACAATGTGGAACTTTTAAAAATGCACTGAATGTAGGACAACATTCAAGTTAACACAAAGGAATTTCAGATTTATTCAATTAAAAATCAAACAAGATCCAAAAATTAGTACTATAAAAACATTCAGCAGATTTAGAACAGTTTGTAATAAAAATTAACCTTGAAGCTTTCGTGGGCAATCAACAAGAAAGAAATTTTTCTTCAAGAAAACAAAGAAAATATGCCTGGTGTTTGCAAAATCTATAGTACGTCAAAATATATTTCTATCTGAGAGATTAATTATTATCTTGCAAAATTTGATTTAAGAATTGAATTAAAAAACCTATTCCCTAGAAACATTATAGTCTGGGGATATTCACTGCCTTTATAATAAGAAATTTAGGGCTTATCAAAAACAATATGGGTTAGTATAGATATATTTTTAAAACCTGGAATGCAAAATACATTCAATTTTTAATCAGTACAATGATCCTAAACTTACAGCCCTAAATATTAGCTTGTGATGATTATTATACAACTGTTCTGAAGTTATCAGAACTTCCCCATATATATACATACTTCTCAGTGTATGGAGAGTTGCAGAAAGAATGAAACATGATGCTTCTTCTAAAGCTCTATAAAAGCAACTCTTACATAGGAACAGAACAAAAAGAACATTCTTACATGGAAAAATGAAATGCTTTTGCCAAAGGGCACAAAAAGCAATTTTAATCCAATAAAATATTGAATGTCCCATTATTTCCATGCTTTTATTAAATATAAACTGTTTATTCAAAGTGCCCAAATATTTATGAGATTTCATTTTCAGAACTTACTGATTTTTGTTTTCTTTACCAAAAATGTTTTGAAAAACTTTTTACAAAACAAGCAGGTTTTAAAACAGATGATAAGTAGCATATGTGAAATGTAAATAAATTCATTTGCTAATATTTAGTAATTAATATTTTCAAAAAACACAAGTATCCAAAAACAAATGTGAGTTACTGTATACAGGTCATTAAATCACTTTTGACATGTTGACTCTGGATATTAGGCAGTGACATAACTAGTGAGGGGTGAAGAGATTTTTTTAAGATTTAATTATCTCAGTAAAAGGCAAGCCTAACTACTGTTTTCCTTTCCCTGATTTTTGATTCATCTTGGACATGCCATGATATCATAATCATTAAAATTTAATCAAGATAATATTTATCAGCATTCATTCACTAATTTAATTTACATTAAAATTAGGTTTCCATCAATATCCTTCACAGAAATTTTTTTGCAATCCTGATAATTTATTAACATATTATTCAGTTCCATTATTATCACCCTATTTAACTGTTCTGATTTGCATTCTGACTCTGAAACTGAAGTGCTGTGGCACTTTTTCACATGAAACTATTATAAAGGTCAGTCATATTAATCTTCGAAGCATAAACTTTTAGAATGTCATTGATGATTTTGCTAACAGTAAAACATGCAAAATAACATTTTAGAATGTTGGAATTGAATTTATTTAAAAAATTAACCCAAAACTTTTATTTATTTCCCTATGTGTTGTTTTAACACTTTACAGATTTCAATTTTTGTTAGGCATTCGGAGCAGCAGCGAACTGATAAGCACGAAGAGCAGCAGCACATAGTTTTAGCTATGCCACTGCTATTAAGTCACATTGAAACCCACAGTATGAAGAAAAGGTTCCTTTTTCATCCAAAACTTTTCTTGAAACTGTTACTACTTTCCTACTCAAAAATCTACCCAAGAAAGCAAGAAAATTTGAAATTTTATTCCCGTAGGAAGGGAGGTACACATGTTTCCCACGTTCCACTGCAGCTTCTATTGCAAACCCTGAAGTAGGAAAAATTGTTTTCACATTTTACTAGAACAGATTGATTTTCTAGAAAGGGTATTGTTGCTTTGGGAAGAAAACTTAAAGAGTGGCCATGGAACTTCCAAAAGCGACTGTGAAAAAATTTCTCACAGAATAACACAAAAGTAGTTTGGAGAATTTAGGTATCGTGAAGAAATATGTGTTGTCTGTTGAAGAAACAACATCAGAAGATCATAAATACTTACATTAAATTGAATATAGAATTATCAACAGTTATTTCAGAAATTAGATATTTGTTTATAAATTTCTTTGCAATAATATGTCATTTATTATTTTATATTATTCCTTCATATAAACGATTTTAATGAGAATTATTATCCATAATTTTAATTTATCTATTTAAATATTTTGCTCATTTATTTTTGAAAAGTTCTATTTTTACCATTCCAAAGAACAGATTTTGTTTCTGATTATAGAAGGTGACCTTTGAACAGTTTTTAACTATACTATGGTGGGAGGATGATTAAATTTAGTATTTTTATTTCTGAAATGTTGTTAATTAGCTTTATAGTTTTATGTACAATGATTATAAAAGTTATTTTCAGTATGGTTTGTTTTGTTTGATTATGGCAATATGTGCAATATGAATGTGATAGTAATACTAACAAAAGATAGCATAATGCATAAATTTAGTATACAGATATAGAATTAAAAATGCTTTCATGTTCTTGTATTAGGACTGAGAATGATTATGAAAAAATAATTAGGTATAATCAAAGAGAAGACCAATTCCCCCTCCTCTTTTTAAAGGAAAAAACACCTTTCATTTGAATAATGGGTTCTTGATATTTGTAAACACTTTGTTCATCATTAATATAGCAATAGTTACATAATTTTAATAAGAACTTTTTCATAATTAAGAACAGCAACAGGAATATAGCTGATTTATCCTCTTGCTACAAAAAAGGTTCAACTCCATACTCAGAAAACAATTATTAATTTTTAGATGCTATATATTTTCATACAGACATTATATTGTGATGCATATATCATCAATTACTTAGAATAAATTTGTTCCTCAATGACATTTAGCATATCATCTCTCAATTTTGACTGAATGTTAGTTGTTAATTTAGATTTATACACCACAAAAAATACATTACAAAGATCAAGGATTATTAATAACTAATTATTTCCAATAACAATCTAATTTATTACATTCTATTTTTAAATAATTTTCAATAAGCTTAAATTAGCCTTAATAATAAAGCAGTCAAAATTAATAATTTTAATTCCTTATTCTCTGGGATTAAATTCTTTTAACTGTACAGGTAAAAGGGGTGGATGGGGATATTTGGATGCTGCTTTGTTACTTGACATCAGTGGCTTAAAAAGATGAAACATTCATTATAATTGCTGAATTCATGCAGCAAAAAATTATAAATTCAGAGAAAGACAAAGATTTAATGCAGATGTATGAAAATCGAAAGCAAAACTAATCGTAATTATATTAAACTCAATGTTTTAACCCTGTCATCATTAACTTATTGCAAAGTCATAACTGTTGAAATCTAATTATTTTGCATAAAAGCATGGAATTTTCATATGCCGGCATCCAAATGATTTCAGAAAATGTTATAAAGATGTTGGCAACTTAAGATAGTATGCCACAATTAGGACCTTCACATGGGTGACCTTATCAAGCAGCCTTTATCATGATACGATACTTCATAAGGGTGGCTGTACATTGTTGCCTTTATGTCAGGGCACCCTTGCATTCTGGTCAGCAACTGTCAGCTTGTAAAAAAGTGCCTTAAGCCATGACACCATTGCATCTTAGTTAACAAAGGAGAACTTTAAAATTGCTGCCACTTTTTTTTTTTCAATTGGCCACACCAGTTAGACTAAGCCTGTCCACCCATGACAGGAATCAATTCAATTCATGAAGGCTGTAATTTTCCTTTATGATCTTTTGTTTGCAAAATAATAAATTTGATTATAAATTTCTGGTACTGAAACAAAGATAGATTATTTTCTGTTTGCCTCAAGTCAATTACATCTAGAACAGATAATTAAAAACTTTAAAATGCACAAAAAAAAAAAAAAAAAAAAAAAAAAAAAAACCCTCACACTTAAAAGTTATTTCATTTACTCTAATACTCTAATTGTAGCAATGTGGAAAAATTAATTATACACGCAATATATCAAAATAAGTAGTGTGGCTCTTTCATCCCACTAGAAGAAGTAGAAGTAAATAAAAACCCAAGAGTAACAGAAATTTAAAAAATTGGGGGGAAAAAACACAACAGTTTAACACTACCTGAAACAGCGAACAGCTGTTATATTGCTAATCACACTTCCAAAAAATGCAACAGCAGTTGTTACACTTGTGATAAACATAGATAAGCAGGCATGATGAAGAGTATCTCTGACCCCCCCCCCCCCCCTCCCCCCCCCCCACCCCCCCCCCCCCCCCCCCCCCCCCCCCCCCCCCCCCCCCCCCCCCACCCCCCCCCCCCCCCCCCCCCCCCCCCCCCCCCCCCCACACTAACGTTCCATTATTCTTTTCTGCTTTTGCACAAGCCCAAATTTTACAATATATACAAGCATCATCAGCTCCTATACCTAAAAGAGGAAAAATTTTAAATTGACAAAGGGGAAAAAAAAAATCATTAGCATCTTTAGATTAAATCCTTTAGCATACATTGTACCACACTGAATAGCTTAAATAATACCTATTAGTAGAAATAGCACTTGAAAAGAAATAAGAAGATACATTATATTTAGAATTAAAAATAATGCATTTCACTTTTAAGTGACCACATTAATATCAGTTATGTAAACAAAAAAACTATTTCATAAAATTTAAGTGAAAATCATAAAAAAGGGTAAAATTAAAAATCAACACTTTTTAAACAATTTGTTTTTCTACTACATGTATTTTTAAATTTAAGTACAATATTAACAAACTTGTGGTGTATTTATGCAATCCACATTCTTTTAAAAGTACTGAAAATATTCTAATAATGCTCTGAAAAATTATTATGTTTTCTGAAATAATTAATAAGCAAAGTCATGGTTATATTTTTGATGAAAAGTACACAATTCGAAGTAAATAGGAAACTAAGTTTTAATTTCAGAAAACTTAGTTTCACATGAATGATGATTTACCTAATTTGGTGCAAAAGCAAATATTCCAAAGCAAGTTGTGTTACTAACTTTAAATAAAAAGAATATTTTAATGCATTTCACCCAATTTTATTATACTATTAAATATAATTCTAAAGTAATTTGCAATTAACAATTATTTAAGATTTCTTTGTAAATTACATATTTATTTTTATTTGGGAAAACATTGAAAAATTTAAACAAACCCAAGCTACATTAACTTCTTTGCTGCTAATTAATTAAATCCTTCACAGTTTTCTAATATATTCTAAAATTACCAAGCATAATATGACTAGCTTAGAAATAATATCAAACTGTGTTGTTCTTCCTACTACAGCTGTATTGTATGCTAAAACTAAAAGCGAATGAAATGAGAACCAAGAAATGAACTTGCTAGAAAACCATTAGCATGTTAACTCAAAACCAAATTAACATGCTATCTCTTAAATTGGGGTACTCATATTGAGCACATGCAAGCCTTATGGCTAAGCAATATCCCAATTTTGATCAGAAAGCAATATGAGGAAAGGAGTCTCTTTCAGCACCAGTACCTTGAAAGAACTTAAGATAAATATTTGCAAAAATTCCTTCCTCAATTCTACATTTAGTAGATTAGCTCTTAATCTTGATTAAATGTTTAAATTCAGGTCTGTACATCATTACAAATGCATTACTAAGATTATTAAGAACACCACTTGTAATAATCATTTAAAATGAATATTTTTCTCCCACTCTAGCGTTAAAGAGAGTAAATCAGTGTTTCTCAAACTTTTTTTGCCTCACGCCTCCCTTTTATCACTGCTAGATGATCATTCCCCCTTTTCCAAAACTAATAATTACACATACGTTTATTTGAATTTAGATTACTTTTTAATATGTTTTATACATTAAAGAACAAAAGTATAGAAAATACTGATAAATGTCAAAACGTGAATAAGAGTAGTTTTTTATATTCATATACTAAAACTAAATATTTAACAGGTAAATAAAAGGCTAACTTAATTTCCCTTGAAACTGTGAAATTCCCCCCCGGTTGAGAATCCCTATGTTTGATTATAATCCATGCGCATTAACTTATCAACAGATCTGAAGTACTCCCATTGCACAAAGATAATATAGTTACATCCTTCTCGGACTCTAACCTACATTTCATGGCATAAAGGGTCAGCCTCTGCTAATCATCATACTGCCCAGAAGGTTTTTTTTTTTTGTGTGTGTTTAGTAAAACACTTCTATATCTGGGTAAAAAAAATTTTTTTTAAATACGTTACTAACACTAAATAACCTAGAAAGTATAATTTGGATTAAATCTCAAACAGTAAGCATATAGGAAAATGATAACATTACCAACTTAATAAAAAATTACAATGTTATAATTATACATTAGACTACACAAAGACACATAAAAATTTCTTACCTATGATTATTATAATGGTCAGCAAATTGATGAAGGGGAAAAATTCTATTTGATAGATGACAGTATACATAAAATATGCCATTCCCACAGAGAAGGCTACACTGCAAATGGTTATGAATGTCACAAAAAATGATGATGAATACATCCACAGAAGTACAAAAATTAGAATTCCAGCCATGGCAACATATAAAGTATCATGTAATAAACAGTCAACAAACAGCGTGTACTTCAATCCCAATTCCATACCAACAACTTCTACAACATCATTGCACAGTTTTATATTTTCCAAATCTTTATAATAACTTAAGGCCGCTGAGCTTTGAGCAGTTGGAAGAAACACAGCTGTATATGTTAATTTAGGAACATTAAAACTTGGAGAGTTGGGATTTAAAAAGTTAACATCAGTTAAGTAATGCAGAATATTGTATACAGCATCATATTCAAAACAGGGTTGGGGTACCCCACGACATAATGCTGGATCTATTGTGCAGTCATGGCTAAGCTTCATACCATGATAATAAGGTGCACATGCTAATAACAGCTGAAGAACAGCTGTGACATCTGACTGTTCTATGTCATGACAGGAAGAAAGATTTCGTAAAAGTGCAACATAATTGGATATTGACCAACTACGACAACATGTATTCCAATGAGTGTGCTCACAGAGTTCAGGAAAAAACTTAGACTTGCGTAATTTATTTTCATCAATATCACAAATGGATTTCAGTCCTTCCACAGTAAATAGGTTGCCTCCAGATACAGACTGTATAATAACATGAGCATAGTTTCGAGCTAAAAATATACAAAATAAAATAATTGAAGCATATAACAAATGATGCATCAAAAGCAAAAGACAAAATATTACACAAATTACAAGAAGTTACTTGAAAAGAAAATCTAAAATATTACTAAGATGAAGATTTTGTTTCAGTACTTCTTCACTAATGGAATATACCAAAGGCATTTTTCATTATTTATACAAAATTTAGAATAATAATCAAAGAATGAAGTTTAAGTAAAACTTTCTGTTACGAAATTTTAACTAATATACTTGTTTAAACTAATATATTTTCTTTTCCCAAATTTTTAAAATTAATTTTTGTGAAATAAAATTATTGGATATTTTCTATAATACTCACATAAAAATTGCAGTTACATGTATTTATGGTGATATGTGAAATAAATACATGCTAGTATGAGAGAGGTATGAAAACGCTAATAAATGATACATTACTGACATATATTTACCAAAGTTTGAATATTTTCAAATTCAATATTTATTGTTTAAAATTCTTAGTCTTATTTTTGGGTATTTAATGGGAAAATTACATAAATTCCCCTTTTTAAGTTCAATTACAGTACTGCTCAAATTAATGGAAAAAATTTATAACTTACTACTGTACTAATTACTAGAGGTTTATTTCAATTTTTTTTTTTAATTGTTGGAAAAAGAATTTATGACAACAGTTAAAAAACATACTGACTCCAGAAATATGAACTTTCAGAATCCAATTTAAAGTTTACAGCCCTTGTTCCACTGAAATGAAGCTGTCATTAAGTGTCTCTACATAGTTTTTTAAATGTATCATTACTCAAGGTATGGCTTTCACTAAGTCATTACTAATAAATCTCTGCGTGGCCACTCAGTTGAACAAATAAACTGCGTAAACAGACCCAAAACTGCATGCTACTTTTGTATATAGCATGTTCAAAAGGTAAGAATACATCATACGATGACTGCTAAAGCATACTGCTATACATAGAATGGTTATGTGATCTTGAACCTGTCACTTTCCTCTCAGGTTTGGTTAAGAGTCCTACACCTATGCTCATTTGAAAAAGATGCATAGTAACAGCTCAACTATCTGGAAAGCTCAGAAAACGCTAAATTCTGGATATGCAAAAATTCCAGATAATTAAGCATATAAAAAATGGAAATCACCGTAGGAAACCCACATGAAACGGAAGAAAAAATTTCCAGTTTAAAATAATAAAAAGAGTCATTTTATTTGTTACCAACTTGAATATGAAATGCCTACATTTAAAATGAGTTTAAAATTGGGGGGAAAAAAAAACATATCAGACATCAATGCCAAAGTAAAACATGACATTCAATTACAAAATTCTGCCGATCATGAAAACTGGCAGAAGTCTCAGCAAACTTGCACCCTTCATTCTGTTAAAAATTTGGAGGAATAGATAGCTCTTAGTAAGATAATCAACATTACAAGTTATGGACATATCATATTAAACCTTAAATTACTTGTCATAATTCTTCATATTGCACAGCCCCCATTTATCAATTTTCACATGAGTACCCTTTTTCTTGATGCCAGGATCACAAAATTTTGAAAATACTGTAACCTGTTCTATTAAAGATAAGTCCCAAATTAAAAAAAAAAATTTTTTTTCAAAATGCAATTGAAAAACAGACAAATAGCAGTTCACTTACATACTCTTTTAAAAAAATTAAACCAAGATATCGAGTATTAATTGGATTTACTTAAATACAAAGCATTATGTCATGCTTATCCAATACTGTGCTAAAGCATACTGTTTGGTAATAGTTTTTGTTTGATTCGAATCATAGTACTATTTGTGTTTTAGAGTGAAGATACAAACCTTTTAATTGTTTAATTTTACATTAAAAGAATTTTCTAAAGTTTTTTAAATTCTGGTTACTTGAATACCAGGCATTTACTGTATTTTAAACAGCAATCTAGAATCTCATCAAATGCAATGTACTAGCCAGTATACAGTTTATCAATGCAATAGGTAAGTGACCAACAGAAATTCATATATAAGATTGTGCTGTTTATGGTGATATTTTGAATCATTAGAAGATGATGAAGTGATGCCACGGACTCTTGAGAAGCTGAACTCATATTCATGAGAAATAAAGAAGCAACTTGCACTTCAGAAAATCGAGAAGAAAATATGTGTTAATTTAGGCCTGATGATAAGGGATTTATATAAATTCTTTAAAATGTTATAAAATAATTATATTAATTATTATTTATATAAAGTCTCGAAAGACCTTCATTCATGAAGCCATAATTGAAGAATTTGGGTACAGAAAAATGCATGAGAAAAATGGGTTGCATGCTTTTTCAGATGTTGTACTGAAGAAGAAATGGAATTCAGAGCTTGACTGAGATTGAGAATGAACTTGGATTTTTCATTATGCATTCTGAATTCAAGAAATAAGCCTTTCAATACTGCATGTATTTCCCCAACAGGCGGGATTCAAAAATTCAATTTTGTAGGTTTTACTTTTTAGAGAGATAGGGAGGTTATTTTTTTTTTCTTTTCTCATTATTTTAATGCCTCCTGAAAGAAAATTTAATGTTAATACATAATGTGAAACCTTGCAATGACTCTGAACAGTTTATCTAATATAAAAGGAGGAGAGGAATGATGACACATAGCAGTTGTCCGATCCTTTCGGCCATGTCTGTCCCAACCACTAAAAAACAATCTTCTAAAATATCCACAAGTTTTGGATTATCCACCATATTATTCTGATTTAGCATCCAATGATTTTTACTTGCTTCTTCATTTAAAGAAATATTTTGCTGGGCAGTGGTTCAGTGATGATGATCAAATGAAAAGAAAAATCATGACATGATTCAAACGGCAAATGGGAGATTGTAGGCATAAAAAAGCTTGCTATAACTCCTTGATTTAATAAATATTTAGATACAGGTGACACTTTTAGAGAAAAGTAATGTTATCTAATATAATTAATTTTTTAGAGAAATTTCATCCAAATAAAATGTTTTTCACTAAATGCTATTCTTTGCATTTTCACTTTATGGAGACCATTTGAATTCACATAGAGGTAATTAACCTTTCAGAATATTATAATTTTTTATAATAGATCTACACTTTAGAAGGAAAAAATTAGCAACCGTTAGACGGAGTAGTTCAAAATTCTTATATACACTAGTGTGCAAAAATTAAGGACGAAGTCGAAAAATTAGCTTATCAGCTGAACGAAGAGGCAGAGCGGACAGAAAGATCAATCAGGAGATTAAGTAAGGTGATGTACGGTAGCACATGCACAGATATGCAGGTAGACGTAATGGGGAAGTGTCTGAGTAGTATAAAGCATGTTGTCGGTGTAAGATCAGTATTTCTGGCAAAGAGATTGCACGCCGTATAGCAGTTAAAATCACACCGAGTTGCTGCCTCAGCGAGAAATGGCAAATAATCAATCTGTTAGACAACATCTGGATGCTTTTACCCGAGGTCGAATCATTGGGAAGTTGGAGGAAGGTCGCAGTGTGACAAGTGTGGCTGCAGAGTTCGGAATTGCTCACAGCATCGTTTCACGACTTTGGAGACAATTTCAAACTACAGGAACAGCTATCCGGGGGTCTAGTAGTGGTCGCCCACGAGGAACCACACCCGCACATGACCGGTATATTGCCTTACAGGCCAGAAGAAACAGGCGGTAGACAGCGGGAGAAATCGCTAGACACATGACACAGGCGACTGGATGACCGATATCGTGTTTACCGTGGCCAGAAGACTGCACGGTGGTGGTCTGTTTGCACGACGCCCTGTACGGTGTGTACCTCTAACGCCTGCCCATCGGAGAAGGCGTTCTCTGTGGTGCCGGGAACACCGGAATTGGAGAGACAATGAATGGGGACGAGTACTCTTTACAGATGAGAGCAGATTCAGTCTGAGTAGCGATTCTCATCGCATACTCATCTGGAGAGAGCGGGGAAGCCGCAATCATCCCTCGAACATCATTGAAAGGGACAGGTATGGAGGTGGCGGTGTTCTCGTTTGGGAAGGCATCATACTTGGCAGTCGTACTGACCTTCACATCTTCGACGCAGGACCCATTATTGTGACAAGATTCTTCTTCCATATGTGCGTCTTTTTAGAGGCGTTATGGGTCCGCAGTTCCTTTTCATGGACGACAATGCACCATGTCATCGCACAGTAGCTGCCGAACAGCTCTTAGAGAGTGAGGATATTGAACGTATGGATTGGCCGGCACGATCTCCGGATCTCAATCCCATCGAGCATGTATGGAATTTTCTAGGCAGACATTTGGCAGCTCGTACCTTACCACCAGTAACGATTCCGGAGCTTCGATTGGCGCTGCAAGACGAATGGGCAGCAATGCCTAAACAACTCATTGACACCCTCATTCTCAGCATGGGCAGACGCTGTGAAACCTGCCTAGCAGTCAGGGGAGATCATATCCCCTATTAAAGACCGGATGTTTCTTGCTGGACACCCATCACAGGGATGTTTCGGCCTTCAGTCGCATTGCGCTCCATGCTACTTTTTCAATAAAGCTTCTTTTTATCCCTCTGATTTCTCTTTTAGTAAGTGTTGCTTACATTACTCATGTCCTTACGTATTGGGGATCTTACGGTATTAAATGTGTTGATTTGGAAAGCTTTTGTACAAAGTTATATTGAAAAACCGTCTCGTTTTTAATTTTTGCACACCAGTGTAATATATTTCATTCTTCTATTAATTATGAGTGGAATTCCAAAACAACTGGGGTATTTTAAAACACAGTTCCAATCGATTTCAAATACAAATTAATTTAATTATTTGATGAAACTTATTTACAATCTCTGTGAGAACTGATTAATGCTCCTACCCTGCCAAAAGCACATGTAAGTCTCCAAGTTATACATATTGTGCAAAGATGCGTATATAATTTTTTCTGTCAAGAGAATATACACTTGTTAGTACCCACGTATTAATCAATAGTCAGGGTTTCAACAGGTACCAAGCTAACATTAGCAATGATCTAGGTATTTGTGGCTTCTTTCACCAAATGGAAATAAATAACATAGCTGCTATAAATGTGATCTGGTTTCTTTGAAATCAATTTCCTATATTTTTCATTGGCTACATTCTTTGATATTACACATTCATAACACACTTTAATTTTCAATAGTGATACATAATTTTATGGCAAGCGAGCTTGAACATTATTAACATTTCATGATCTTGGGAGCAAAAACAAAAGACAGCTTCTGTGCTTGTTATTCAACAAATTTCAGAGACTCGCGCAAAAAAATAAATTCTATTAGCTCTGACGTGTTTAAAAAGATGGCAGTAGAGACTGAAGGCATGACTGGGAAAAAAAAAAAAAAGGCAGACATTTACTGGGAAGTTATTGTTGATTGAAGTTTCCAGTTACATACATATAAGTACCTATATTTATCAATTATTTTCATATTTTAAGAAATATCCTATAATATATAATAGTTGCCAACCTGAAAAATGAAAACCAGCATTTTCTGGAAGGTGTTCGCACTGCCAGGAAGCACAAATTCTAAAGAACTCCAAATTGACTTAAATTCACTTTATAATGTATGATTCAAGTTATTCAACTATCTACAATGTAATTCTGCCATAAAATATGTTAACATTTAGTTATATTTTCTAATACTTTTATATTAAGAAAATACTGTATTAAGAAATACTTATATTAAGAAAATACTGAGTAGGGAAGGAAAGCGTTTATTTATCACAGCACTTTTACACACAATTAAAATAAAATTAATATACTTACTTTTTTCAGTGTTTTTTTAATGTGTGTTTTATATTTAGTTGTATAGACATTAGGTAATTTTGGAAGCAGGTAAGATGAAAAATTAGCAATGCCTTCGGCGGGAATTAAACCGTGGACCTCTGGAATACGCGCACAGCGTGCAGACTACCACACCATGAAGGTGTGTCTGTGTATGATTATGGCAAAACCTCGAGGGCTATCTGCCTAAGGGGAGGGATGCCTTCATAGAGGACTTTCTAAGGGAAACTCGCTCATATACACGTTACACATGGGGAAAACCACGAAAACGCCCATGCAGCCAGCCCGTTCGCTGGATTCGAACCTAACCACGAAGGTGGGAGAAACACTTTATATACTCCCCCTTTTAAAAGGCAAATGGGGTTTTAGGTGACCCAATTGCCAAATCCTGGGTGTGGAGAATCATCATCCAACACCCTTTTAGTTCGAGCACCACTGTAGAGACATCAGGTATTTTTGGAGCAGGCAAGATGAAAAATTAGCAATGCCTTCGCCAGGAATCGAACCGCGAATCTCTGGAATACATGCCCAGCGTGCAGACCACCACACCATGAAGGCGGGAGAAATACCTTATATTGTAATATAGCATATACCAATGGAGAACAAAATTAAAACAAATATTTATTCATTAAACATTGGTTGAAGCATCATAAAAAGTTCTACAGATGTCTACAATACATTAAGACAACTCAGATAAAATAAAATTTGTTAAGGAAAAAATATGCTGAAAATCAGTAGAGCGAGAATGAAATTTGCACATTTTACATTTAATTTATTTAATAAATTCCATTTGTTACTGGAAAACTCTCTTCTTAAAAAAAAAAAAAAAAAAAAAAAAAAAAAAAAATTAGGTACATTATCTCTTTGTTAAAAAACAAAAACTATTTTGAAATTATTAAGCATGAGCACAGTGACAAGAAGAATTATAAACAAAAATGAAGCCATGTACATGCTTTAATGCAGGGATGGCCACAGTGGAGTTTAACATTTAAGATTTTTTTGGGAAAAAAATCAACTGTATCAACTCCATTGATAGGTACATACTTAAACCCATTAGAATAAATATAATAACTCTTTTAATTTTAGTTTAGGTTTATTTTAATATAACGACACTTCGTCACACTACTGTTGTAGGTTTGGATCAACAAGTATTTTCGATTATGAATACAATAAAATAAAAATATCATTCAAGATAAAACGAGACACACCTAAAACACCCAATTTTGTTAGCATCTTCAAGAACTAATCTTAATATAAATGACTTCGTAAAAAAACTACATATTCTAAAACCACATTAATTAAGTACTAGCTTTTTAATAGTTATTTAGAATTACCAGATTTGCCGACATATAAGATGCACTGGCCTATAAGACGCACCCCCTTTTTTATACACATTTTTTAAGGATAAAACTTTATTACTGATCACTATAATTCTGCCAAGTTCTTATCATTTCAGTTGGGGTTGGCCCGAAATGCCTCTTTGCAGCCCTATTTCCATGTTCTTTAGCATACACAATCACAATTGTATGCTATGTTATAGAAATGCCAATGTTATTTTTGAGCCATAACTTGGCAACAAATTTAAGAAAATTCAACAGTAGAAATTTCACACACTTAACAGAGTCGTTCACGAAAATTGGAAAGTTTAAACGAACCCAGCTGTAATCTTCAATGACGCCGCATGAGCATTCACCGAGTTCTATGTAACTGTAATATTTCCATACTCCGCAAGGGAATAAGGGGAAAAAGAAATTGCGCAACTCCAAATAGTGGAAATTTCCAGAAATGAATGTAATCAAAAACTGAGTATCGACTTATAAGACGCACGTCTTTCAGACCTGTTTTCAAAGAAAAAAGTGCGTCTTATCCGCCGGCAAACATGGTTAATGTTTCAAATTACAGTAAGACCCCGCTTAACGCGGGGGATACATTCCATCAAAGTAGAGCGTAATGCGAAACAGCGCTAAGCGAGGCTATCTTAACATGTAAATAATGGGGTTAGGGGAAGACGGATAAAAAATGGTTGGGTATTAAATTGAATAATTTTTTTTAAATAAAAATAAAACCAAACATTTATTTCTTACAAAAATAAAAAAAAAAAAATATATAAACGAATATACTTTTAAAAACAAATAAAATTCTCAGTCAGATCATTTAGTCTATTCTGGGTTTCCAATTTTCTGCTTTTTTGTTAAGAAGGCATTATGATAGATTGGCTTAATGGCATATTGCTTTCAATTTCGTAGTCAATCCATATAGAGAGTCGTTTTTCCACTTCCTCTATAATGTTATTTCTAGAACGGGTAATTCTAGTTGCAGAGCTTGACGTAGTTGCGGTTGCCAATGACAGTATTTTTTCTTTATTCTTAAAAATTGTCCTTATTGTTGAAGTTGCCAAAATCAATGCAGCGCTAATTTGAGATTGACGTTCACCAGAATCTAATCTTCTAATCACTAGCATTTGAGTTTCCAGTGAAATACTTTTTCTGGTTGCTTTCTTTTCTTGTTTTTTATTATCACCCATGATAAAAAATAAAGATCATAATATTTGTCACTGTATTAATCGTTATAGTATTATATAAATTTAAACTTACAATAATGTTAACAAATGTTTCAAATGAAAAAAATGCGTCCACCAAGCAAGAAACACAACTACACTGTTTCAGATATGTTATTTGGAAACCTAGCGCTGCGCACAATTTCGGAGAATCCCCGGGTTGAAATAAAAAGAGCGCTAAACGAAACAGCGTTAAGCAGGGTCTTACTGTATTCATTTTTATTTTATACATACCCTACCTGACTGAAACTTTAAAAATGTTTATTAACAAAACACAAACCAAGTTTGTATATTTGTTTTATTTATTATATTATTTTTTAAATGTCCACTACTTACATTAAAAAATGTGCTTTTTGTGTAAAAATCTCATAATCTGCAAAGAAATAAAATTTTTTACCCGTTTTTTTATTTTTTAATAAGTTGGAAGTGGCATGCACAAAATTTTTTTCCCCCAGATAGTAATACTCTTCCCAAAAAGGTTGGCCATCCCTGATTTAATGTATTATTAGAATAAATAGTATAATAATAATCCCCCTCAGATAAAAGAATCAATAAAGTTTAAAAATATATGGATTTATATTTATAATAAATATTTTGCTTTTAAGAGTGCATATAAATACAATTATTGTTTCCAAAGTTAAGTAGTTTTAAATATTATCTAGAGTGCCAAACATAAATAAATTACATGCATCAAAACTTACTAGGATTATTGCAGAAGAATTTCCTTTTTTCTACTACAAGTATTTTACTTGGTTTTAAAGGACCAGGTCTCAATACAACATATGCCCAGAACTATTAACTTCATCATAAATTGTACGACCATAACTGACTTCTTCAGTTTCTAACTCTACCCATGGACCATCTCCATTTTCTGTTTCATTCGTTCCATTTCTTTCATTCTGAGAGATTTTTTGCCATTCAGCTGCTTCAAGAGTTTCATTAGTTATATCTGTCACAATGCTATTAGGATAAAAGGTAAGTGGACCATTCCAGCTTGTGCTCTTTAGAAGATTTTGCCAAGCAGTTTCACGCTGAGAGAGAGGTGTGCCTCTTGGTTCAAAACCCTAAAATCAGAAATTAACATAGATAGGTAGCACAAATTTTAATAAATCATATAAAATATCCATTTTTTTCTGTTAGTTTCATAAATGATTAACAACTTTTTAGCTAAATTAAAAAAAAATAAATAAATAAATTTTAAAAATTCAAATTTTGATGCAGTATTTTTTTATTATTTTATTTTATTAGAACAAAAGAATCCACAATGTACAATAAATTCCAGCCTATGTATTGAAAAACAATATTTATTTTTTTTTTCAAACAGAATACACAGAAAAATAAGGAAATTTTTAATCAAACAATATTTTCATAATTTCAAGTTTAAAAAACTTTAGCCTCAATATAATTCACATAGTACTCTGCAAGAGTAAATTTTACTAGTTGAATCTGCTTTGTCAATAACTCGGAATAATGATTTTTACTATGCATGTGCTAAACTGCACTATCACAGAACTGAGTTAATTTTAACTCCTTACCAGTCATATCCGAGTATAATACAGATAACTTTAAAACAAATAGCACACCTGAGAGGACATTGTTCATACACCTGTTCAGAACCAGTGCCAGAGGTGCTGCAAATGGTGCAGCCACACTAGGTTGCAAAATGTTTTTAATTTAGAAGCCACAGAGACTGTATTGGGCAGGAGAAAGCCTAGTACTGATCATGCAGTTGTTAAAAACCTTTTTTTTTTTTTTTTTTTTTTTTTTAACTTAAGATTGCAAAGCCAAAAGCTATTCAAGCTTTAATTATCATTAAGAAAATAGTTATTATGAATAAAGGCACTAAAGGCATAACTATAATGGTTAAAAAAAACATTGTTAAAAAGATTTGAAAGTTAGATATAGGGAAAAAACAAGAGAAGCCAGCCTGCATTTATAATAGCCTAATTCAACAACCAAATGGCATGCAGCTTTATGAGTTTTGCAATACTGCATAAAACCTTTGTTTTATTACCAATGGAATCTAGCACACTGTCAGCACTTAGCAGTGTTGCTGTCTGACTTGCATAAAATCTTTACTTTATGTTTCATATTAAAATTATACATAGCTTACAAAAATGAGTGATTTAAAAGTAACTTGCCATAATCTAACATCTAATTTAACTGTTCATGGACCATTGGTATGAAAGAACATAAAATGCAGTCTGCAAAGCTTTTCTAAAAAAATTCATCTTTAGAATTTCAAAATAAGGTTTTTTATTGGGTCCGTGCCATTCTTCATTGCACTGCCATTTCTACCTTGCTATGATTTTATTAGTTTAAAATAAAATACACTAAAACACAATACAATACATAATAACAAGACACTGATAAGCTGCCTCATAAATCAATAATCATTTATTCACTCAGTGATGTAATCTCCATCCTTGTCAATGACAGCCTGCCAGCATTCAGGTAGGAGCTCAATGCCTCTCCTGTACAACTGTTGTGGCTTCGAGTTGATGATACTTGTTAGCCAATTGCTAAAAGAAACTTCAGCACAAAACTCTTGTCCCTGAATGCTATTAGAGAGACATCCGCAAAGATGATAAATGTGTCAGACGTGTTAATTTTTCTCTACTTCACACTCGACATCAATTAGCGTTGAAAATGGCCAAAACAAGCTATTAACAACGTACAAGCTCCTGTTCACAACAATCAAACTGAAGAGAAACAATTAATAAAAACAAAGGTTTCACAATGACATGTTGCAAACCCAATAAAGAACTGCACAGACTTATTCACCGACCCAATATTTAATGGCAAAGTAATTTTTTTGTTTTGTGTGAATTATATCAAATTGACCTGAAAAATTCTTTATGATTAAATTAGAAAATTTACAAGAAAATGGAGTCTGGCACAAGTGCGACAAAATTTGAATTTTTAAATCGAAACCTGATGGACTGTTTGCTTGCATAAACTAAAGATGAACTGAGAAAATAATTAATTTTTAGGAATTTCGTGACCCAAAGTTCTAGATTCAGCTGATGGCCACTTATAGGTGGGACTGACGAAAAGCACCTACACTGGATTTGCATAGGTTAGGCTCTAACTCTGTGTATAAGAATTTTAGTTTAATAAGAAAAGGCAAAAAATAACACTTATAAGGAAAATATGAAATAAAAATTTAGTTTTATATATATATAATCAATATGAAATAGTATTAAGTAAATATAAAAAATAAAACAAAGTTATTTCAGTACCTACAACTTCATTTTTTTTTTTTAAAAAAAACCCACCAGCTGATTAATATAAAAAGCAGGGAGGAGGGGAAAAAGAAATAAAGAACAACAAACTCCATTCTCCACTTCTTTTGCATTAAAGAATAAAGTAGTGCACAGTGCATATAAAAGCAGAATAACTGCATTATCTCTAAACACAATTATAAATTGTCATTTCTGAAGAAAGGCATGATGTTTTAAAGCATTCAAACATAAATTATTATGCTTTGATGCATATTATTTCTTTATATTTATTTCTAATATACAGGGAGAGTAATGTTTTGTTTATCAGCATTTTCTGAACTACATACAATTTCAGATGCAAATTAATTACAAGCAAAAATGTGTAAAACAAAATAAAGAACCGCATGACTTCGAATTTACATAAATCAGTGCAGTATTTACTACATTATACTCTTTCAAGTAATTAATAACATTTGAATCTTGCACACAAATTTGAAGCTTTGTTTATGATATCAATTTCTGGTGCTAAATGGCAAAATCTTGCCCAAAATATTGTGACTATGCCTTGCAGTATCTTTTCATTTTTTGTGCTTTTTTTTAACTAAGGATTTTTCAGCCCATTTATTTAAAACACAAACTAAATCATTAATATGCTAGTGCTGACTTGAGTGTTACAGTCAGCAATGATACTAATCCAAGGTTTTGCTGCTAATTTAAAAATGGGGGGGGGGAGTGACAATTTAAATATTGTGTAGTCTTTTTTTAGGCTGAAATCAGATTCTTATGCTATTGATTATTAAATGGGGGAAAAAAAACTTTGGCAGGCAATTATTCTCATAAATATAATTTTTGTGTTAGTGCTCTCCTAGGTTGGGCCATTATTCTAATTCATGCAATTCTTTATGTACACATAATTTTTAATATATATAATTGATGATTTTTATAAACATTGTATCATTATGACAGATAATAAAAAACATGTTTTTCCCTATGTTTGGGTAAACTCCAATAATTCCTGTGGTACCTAACAACGAATTTTTAACTTTTTCCATTTGAGAAGCAACTCCAAGATAGCATTCCATGTATGGAACCTAGAATAATGATGTTAAGAATTACTGATGTTATTTTTCATTATTGGACTTAAAAGTGTTGAAGACCAACAGAATGTTGCCTTTTTGAACAGCGAAAAATTAGAAACCTTTTCTATCTGGCAATAAATTACAAAACCTGCTTAAAATATTATCCCCCCCCCAGCTACAGTTAAGCATCATTAAAAAGACCACCCATTCTTACAGATGATTTCAATTTTCTGTGGAGATGGCTGTACTATAGAATTGATGTCTAATACCAACATTTATACCTTAAGAAATATTGATCATTTTCAGAAGTACTTGCTTATGGAAGATGGCAGCCATGAAATACTTCATTGTTTTTGCATTGACAAAAGATCCAAGATCCAAATTTACCTGAAAATTATACCACCAGCATATTTTGATTTTATCATATCTATCCAACATTACTAAAAATAAAGTTAATAGGAGCATCATAACAAGCAAGACTAGAAGGAGAACATATGTAGAATCAAGAATTTCCTAGAAATTATTCGCATGTGTCCAACTAGTTAGTTATAACAAAATTGAAAACTGAAGAAAATAACATTCTTATTTCTTTCCTTTAAAGTATAATCCTTGTAAGTTTGAGTCCTTCACAGAACTCATCTTTTGGAATACTTTTATAATCTCTGATAAGTGTTTTCTGATTTTTTCAATACCATTAAAATTATGAACTTTGAAGTAAGATTTCACTGCTGGGAAGAGAAAAAGTAATCTGCAGATGTGGAATTTACTAAATAAATTAAATCTGCAAAGCTGAGAATTATGATTTGTGTGTGTCTGTGCTACAAACTGCTTGAGCAGAATGGAATTGTGAGATGGTACACTGTCATATGACAAAAACTGGTTTGATTGAGCTTTTTTAGTACTAGCATGCTGAATTATCTTCATCTTCAGAAGCCTACTTATTACATCTTTATACAAATTTTAGTTTACCGTTTGTCCCTCAAGAACAAATTCCTTGTGTACTATCGATTTTGAATCAAAAGATGCTATTTTTCTCAGGATTATAAGCAAAGCACCAAGTTTCATATCCTGTCATAATTTATTTGAAAAAAAATCAGGGTAATTATTTCCCATTCGCATCAAATCAAGACATGCAGAAACTGTCTTCTTTCTATTCTGCAATCATTGCATAGTGGACAAAAAAAGAACATATACAGTACAAAGCGTGTAATCCAGACTCGTTGGGACTTCAGCGATTCCGGATTAGGGGTTTTCCCGGATTATAGACCCTCAATTTAAATCTGGTAAGATGGCACGCAGAAATTATACAATTAAAAATATGAAAACGTAATTTATGAAATAAAGAGAAATTATGATCTAAAGGGTATCAAAATTTACAAAAAAAAAAAAAAAAAAAAAAAAAAAAAAAGCTCAATATTTATTTGTTTACTTTAGTAAACATTTCCATCAATGTAAGTTGTTTCTTGCTTCTCAATAATGTTCTCTGTTATTTTCTTCACTATTGAAAGCGCGCATGGGTAAACGCTTTACTGGCTTTACGCGCATGCATAGTGGATGCAAGCATCAAACGCGCATGCGTAAGTTTATAAATCCTTCTGGATAATGGATGTTTGGATTATGGACTTTGTACTGTATTTCTTTTTTCGAGGCACGGTGGCGTAGTAGCTAGCACATCATGCAGCAGCACCACAGGTCCGGGCTTTGATCCCTGGGGTTGGGCAAAGTCGACTTTCCTTTCATCCCTCGATTTCCATCCCTTGGGGTGATAAAATAAATACTAAGTTCGCTTGGGGACTAAACACTGGGGGTCCTACTTGTTCAGGGCATATGCTTATGCAACACGGGGCCCATGGTCAAGAAAGCAGATTTCGAGGCACTGCTGGCCTTGGCTCACTTGGGCTGTTGCGCCACTGAGTTTAGTTTATTTATTATTTTCAAGTTCTGCCTAAATAACTTTACGAGCAGTATCTTTATTCAGGTTAAATTAGTTATCTTTTGAAAAGACAGGTGACAATTTTTCAACAAATATTATCAAGCTTCTTTGATATTTTTCATTCATTTGAGACTGTTAAGAGCTAACCACTTCTAGGTTCATCATCAGCATCTTTGTGTCCATAATGAAACTGTCTTTCCAACAAGAAACACTACATCATATTAACATCCATACGTTTTACACAGCATTTCCCATGCTTCCAACATTGTTTTTTCTGCTTTACAGCAAAACCTTATTATTATTCTTTGTCCAGTTTGCAAATTCTCCTTGGTAAATTTTCAATGAATCAAAGCAAATAATTAACTGCATAGATATTTTTTCGAATAAGGAGACAATATTTTATTAAATGTTAATTAAGATGCCATAACATACAGGTTTGCTAGAAATTTATTTAAAAAAAAAATCAGTCCCAAAACTTTATAAATGCACTGTGTATGTGCAAACTATTCTGCGTCTTTAGAAATAAATTACCTAATTTATGCTAATGACAAAACTGTTCTGGGATAAGCATGGAATAATGTTCTAGGATATTTAGAAGAAAACTGGTGCCATTGGATGATGTGGATTTCTGGAGACAACATCATATAAAAAACTCTGCAAAAAAGTTCCCCAGAAAACACTTTTAATGTTGATAAATGCGATTGTTTTCACATTTTTTGACCACACAGTCATAAAAGATGCAAAAGCGACACACACATACACACAAAAAAAAAAAAAAAAAAAAGAAAAAAGAAAAGAAAAGCAAATGGTGATTGTACTTCTGCTATATTGTACCTGGGCTCGGGGCTTCAATAAGGTTGCAGCACTTTTAATTTCTAAAATGAAAAGTGCTAGAACCTTATTGAAGGCCATGAACAAAAAGGAACAAAAATAAATAAATACAATAATTAAAGAAATAGTATGAATATGTGGTTCAGTTATATAAAAGAAGTGCTGCAGACCTCTTATTTAAGGCTCCAGAGCATTCCAGCTAAAACTAAGATTTATCTCAAAAATTGAGAAGTAACAAAGCCAAGCTGCTGGCTCCAGCGCAATTTAAGCACTGCCTGAGTCAAACTATCAGTTTTGACATATACGAATTGTACGCGAAATATCAGTGGTGGCAGTTGCAACACAATCACTGACTACTGAAAAGCATAAACATTTCAAAAGTTTCAGTGTTTGCCAGACATCATACTGAAAATGCAAGATCTTGGATGACAGGAAAAATATTTAATAAATGATTACAAAAACCTAACAAAAAAAGTCTATAGTAAGCTATATATAAAAAGATTATCCCTTCCCAAAACTGTATTTTGTTCTTCTGATCCCAGACATGGATATTATCAAATGTTTTAAAGCTTAGTATGGAATACCTTTCACGGAGATGGTAATTTGCAGTATATAATAAAAACATCCTAATCATTTCAACATTAATATAAAGCAGACATGTGAAAACACAGTTGGAAGCTACAGAGAAACGAAAGCAAGATCATTTGTTATTGGCAATTGGTTACTTCAGTGTTTTTCAATCTGTGGCCAGCGGATCACAAGTAGTCCTCAAAGCCTGCCCTTGTGGTTGCCTAAATTCTGAAAAAGTACATAATATAAAATTTTAATAAATTGCTTATAGCTGAAAATCTCAGTGTTTGGAAATAGCACATGGCAAAAGTCTACCACTTTTTCTCCCAAGACATATTTTATGAAAGTTATTACCGATTACCTTACCATGGTTTCTGATTCTAGTCTCAGTCACAAAAGAGGGACTGAAAGACTATATATATAGCCCGGTTCACAACAATAGATTCAACCAGTGGTGAAAACTGGTCCTTCCAATGTGTCCCATTCAAATGGCAAATGGGCATTAATTTGCTTGTCAAATTAAAAGTAGAATGCTCCTACCTCTCTAGAGCAAGGCAAATGGGGAGATTTACCATACTGCATTGCATGATTCACTTAATTCTAGTAAACAACACAGTGAATGTGCAGTTCACCATTTGCTAGTACAGGTTTACTGTATCTGGGTATATAAGAGATACTCTTCAAATCAAAATGCCTGCAATGCAACAAATTAAAAATAACCTCACTCTGGGTATACCAATTTTAGTGATTATTAATGTTGTATTTATAAAGGAATGCATAAAATCTGATGAAGCAGCAATCCTTCCTATAAGCAGTGCATAGTAAACTGTAGGTGCTAAAATAATGTGAGGGAAAAAAATTGATTTTTTTAAAGTATGCTTTTATTTAAAACTCATAAAATTATCAAAGAACTAAAAAAAGTAATTTATTATACAGTTAAATGGAAAAAATGAGATTAAATAATTCTCTTCACAAAATAAATCTATAATTTTATATCATGAAAATTAAAGCATGATGGGCCTTTGATAAATTTATTACTTACGATTATCAGATTTTGTTATTTAGGCGCTTTACTTTCATTATTTGTGATACAAAATTTTGTATGTATTTTGTAAAAAGAATTATTTAATTTCTTTTCCCTGTTAAAATATATGATAAATTCTTTTTTCCTTTAGTTCATAATTATTTTATGGGTTTTAAATAATTTTTTTAATGAAAACTTTTCTTCCATTTTTTTTTAAATTTCACCTTAGTCTCTAAAATATGTTGTCAATAAAATTATTAAAAAATCATATATCAACAATGAATAATGACTTTCCCTCCCCAAGAATTCTGCTATGGCAAATAGCCCCTTCCCCCCAAAAAAGCAATAACATTATAAGTTTATTCAGAAGATTTTTTTTTTTTTTTCCAGCTCTATCTAAAAGTGCAAAATGAAAGATTTTATGACATATACTACATTGCTAACAGCTTCCTAGTTTGACCAAACATTTTCCTTCATAAAATTAATACAGTTCTTTCAGTGGTTCATAAAAATTAGAAATATTAATAGAAGATAATTTATTACCAAAAGTGGATCCTTAAAACTTGGCAAATCATTTAAGGTGAGGCAAATAACAGCACACCCAACAGCAGCTGCTAACACTAGAAGTATTACTGAACATGGATTATTGGCCACCTGGCGGGCATACCTAAAGAAAACAAAAATACTTTGTAACTTACTCTTAACTATACTAACAAAGAAGTAATTACGAGTTGTTTTATAATTTTATTAAAACAGTATTTTCAGAAATCTGAAAATTAATGATAGAACACATTCATAAAATCATAGTAATAGTAAACAATTCTTAATATCAATACTATTGTTCTTGAATTAAAAGAAAATCCCCCTCTTGCCCAGAGAAGGGATTTCATAATTAATAGTGTAAAAAAGAATCTGTAATCATACTATTGTCTAGAAAATCGTGTTCAATATTATCAGAGATTTGGAGTACTTATAAAATAATTATTAGCAAGAAAAATGAAAGTTAATTACAATGACAGTTAATACTTAAGTTAAGGAGTGTACCTATAAATGCATTCATTTACGGTAACTTTATTTTTATTTAAATTTTAAAAGCATAAGCTACCATTTAAGAAAAAGTTAAATACTGGGATCAGTGTCATATTAATCAGTGTCTAAAAGTCAAGCAAGTTTCTAAGCATTAAATTTGACATAATACAAAATGATTTGTGATATTTGATTCATACCATATATCACAAAAAAGTAGGTAATTAAACCCTTCTTCAAACAGACAACATTTGTTAAGCACTGGGTGGCAATAGCCGAATCCATGGTCATTTAGATGTCTCCTCACCAAGAACGTTGAACAGCAGACAAGTAGACAAATATTAAACCTGTAAGGATGAGGGACAAACTACAACAAACATCCATGTCTTCTTCAGGATCTGAACTTGGGGCAAACAACATGGTACCCAGCACCACTAATCACTGCACCAAGCAGGGCAGCACTGACTGGATTGTTCCTTTCTAATAATAAAATTACAATAAATATACTTATGCATGTTTTTAACTCTTTTCATTAAGGTTTTGACTCACTTTATTGCTCTATCATACCTGTATTGTATATTATAGAGCTATTCTGGATAGAATTTTCGAGCAGGATAATGTAAATTTAGATGATACTTTAAAAAAGCTTTGGTAATGGAGAAAGCATTAAAAGATGTAAACAACATAATTGGGATGCCAACAGAAATTAAGGAATTTATTGCCAAGAATAAAAGTAAATCCAAGTTGGTTGCTCCAAAACAAAACTTCTCAGCTAAGTGTGCTAGAGGTAAAATGTGTTTGCAATGCACAGGGACTGACCATGATAAAAAAAAAAAAAAAAAAAGTAAATTTAAAACAAGTATCTGTTGATTTTGTAAAAAAATCGGGCACATTAAAAGAGCAAGCTACAACGCTAAAAACTCTGAACGTTAGAAGGGGAAATTTCCAACATGATGTTAGAAATGTGTGTGTGTGTGTGGGGGGGGGGGGAACAGCTCCTAGCAACAGCATAAATTTCAGTGAGGCAAAAAATAGGAAACCATCCATAATGGTCCAAATGAACACAGAAGGAAAACTGGTAGCTATAGAATTGGTTTCAGCTGTTTTTTGCATTTTTCAACTGTATTAACCAGTTTTAGAAAATATGTGTTTCCGTATTGGCTCCCCGATTGCCTTAGTTTGTCGCCAATCCATTTACAACTTTTTGGTAACTTAAATATTAGAATAACTATATGCAATTCTGAGGTACGCCACATTCCCTTTTAACTTATAAAGTTGCCACTACTATTTTACTAAATTTTATCTCCATATTATTTTAATATTCACATAATGATAGAAATTAAACTTTTGTGATTCTTTCTTGGATAGTTTCTTGGTTCTTCCTTTCAATAGACTCTAATGTTACATACATACTGAGTACTGGATCTATTTGTTCCAATTGAGTTATTGAATTAATTATTTTGCTAATTGATTCTTTGAGGGTCCTCTATCATGGCTGAAAGTACTGTCTAACTAGAAAACAGGGTTCGTACACATTTTTGCACACGGAAATTAAGTACTTTTAAGGACCATTAATGAAAAAAATTAAGGACCTATGAGCAAATGGGAACTGAATAAATTCAATTAAAAATATTATTTATGCCTGAATTTCACTTTTGTAATACCATCCTAAGAATAAAATAGATCCCTAAATAGTATGCATTATTAGCAGGTAGATTTTGTCAAACAGCATAAGTTAAAATAAGAAGTAAGATCATAATCAGCATGATTCATAACAAAAGACTGAATGTTGTCACCGCTTCTGCTAATCTAGAGGGAGACCTGCTGATTCGAACAAACCTGAAAGGCCTGATGTACGCATGGTTGGCAAGTGCTGAAAGTCAGTCAGGCTCTTTTTGATGCAGTTAGTGTCGTAGCTTCATGTAGAGTTCCAGGGGTTGTAACCCAGTCAATATACATTAAGGTTCCAATAAGCCATTCAAGCACCAGAGGTGATAAGTTGTTTTGTATTATTTTTAATACCCTGCAAATGCAAAGAATATGTTTTACGTGAATTTTTCCATTTTTGTATTTTATCTTGTGACCACAGTGGATTGGATTGGATTATTTATGGCAAAGCACACAAGGGCTATCTGCCTAAAGGGAGGGATGCCTTCATGAAGGAATTTCTAAGGGAAACTTGCTTGTATACACGTTACACATGGGGAGAACCATGAAAACGCTCATGCAGCCAGCCCGTTCGCAGGATTCGAATTTCGGACTGAACTACCAGTGTTCAGCGTCTTTACCACTCGGACGCTGGTGGGCCCGACCACAGTGAGTATTAATGAAATGCAAAAACTCGTTTTAATATGTAGAGAAAATTAAAAGTAAACAGTTAGTTACCAATAATTAAATTAAGTAGGTTAATAAGCTTAGTCATTATGGATTTACATGGCCACTATTAAATTTTATTTTTTAACAATATTTGTTAAAAAAGCCCTATCAAAATAAAGATCTAATAAAATTTCACAGTTTAAAATACATGTAATTTATGACATTGATTCTTAAATGATATTAGGATAATTACACATTAAAAGCTACAAAACATTTATGTTTTGTAACAATAACACTCAACAAAATATTTACCCGTCATTTTAATTTGAAGCCTTCCCAGACATTTTGGCTAGTTTATATCGATTTCCTTCTCTTTAAGCATCTTTTCTAAAAATGAGAGATTTATCTCAATATGCAAAATCCAATGCTCTTGCTAGTTTCTGCATGCTTTATCTCCTAAGTTGTCAATCTCTCCACAATGTACCTATCAGGGTTTATTTGATTTGGTAAAAGTTAAATAGTCCAAACCCCTTGACAAACATGAAGCATATTATCGCTATGTCTGAAAGTAACTGCAATATCAGACAAAGGTTTAAATAAGCCTCTTATTTAAAAAGAACTTAAAACAAAGGCGTGTTCTGATGCTAACAAAATCAATTACAGCTCACGGTGACGTAATTAAACAAGAACAGTCAAATTCAAACTTAAAATGTGGATTAGTGGTCAAAGATTATACAATTTAGTTTTAATTTAACCCTCTAAATGGCAAGGCCATATATATTAAGGCCTAGAATATTTTTTGTGATATCTGTAAGAATGTATATATACGTGCATATTAAAATATGTCAAAGAAATTGAGGCAATATATCAAAAGTACACAAATCCAGGTATGTAATAACAGGAGAATTTTTACAAATTAAAATCAAAAACATAATTTGTTCTCATAGTAGTTTTGGGAAATTTGCTTTCTTTCTTAGTAAAAACCCTAGGCCGCTCAGATGGGTTGGCTCAGTAACTCTATCATATGAGGAAATAGAAATGGAAAATTATAGTAAAGTCTTAAATCATAAATAATTGGGTAATTTATATAACAATAATTGCACATATCTCTAAAGAATAATTTTCTTTATGTATTTAGTTTCTTTCTTCAACACGTTTCCTTTTCATTTTAGAATTTTTTGATTTAATTAAGGATTTCTGTTATTCTAAAAAACACTAAATGCATTTAGAATGTACAGAAAAAGCAGCTAATTTTATTTCTTTAGTAATATGAATATTCAGAAGAAATATGAAATATATATGGTAAAGGCCAGTTACAGAGCTGATGTGGCAGAATTTTTAGAATTAAATGACACACCGAACAACAAAATTTTTAAATGGCAAAACTTTTAGAATTTAGAGCTGGCATTGGATGCATTTAGAAACGGACTAGGCAACAGAATTTAGGATTCACAGAGATTGCGTCAAGTGGGAAAATGCCTCGTGCGAGCTATAAGTATGGTGCATTAAGACATATTAAATTAATCTTTTAAATTTTAAATTTTCAATTTCTTTATTAATAAAAAAAAATTCCTTTCTATAATGCCTGTCCATGTAACAAGATTAGAAGCATTTTTGATATTTTCCATGCTTGTGTCTAGTGAAAAGTAGAGAAAATAAAGGGAAGATAAACATGTTAAAATTCTAGTATCAGAAGTAAAACATTCAAATATTATGTTTTCACTGTTTTTCCAGATGTTCTCAAAAAAGTAAAAAATTCATTGCAAACTTTCTGTAAAATACTTCAATTACGTGTTGATACCATGGAGACATTTTTCATTTTGTCACATATTTCTGGAATCTTCTAGAATCGTGGCTCTTTAAATCTTGCCTTCAAATCCTTCTAAACTTTCCAAGCTGCAATGTCTAAAATCCTAAAAAAAATTTATCCCTACCAATTTTGTAACAGCAAAAGGCCAGAAATAGTTTGGAAAAAAAAAGGGGTAAAATTAATTTTATAGAGAAAACCTGATGCATATTTTAAGAATTCTAAATACTCTAAGACAATTACATGAAAAAAAAAACTCTTACTATGAAAAAATTAAAAAGAAGACATTTTTAATTAATTACATAGCTAATTTTGCTTTTGCTAAGAGCTGTTTCGTAAATTGTGTTTTATAGTATTATACATTTTTTTATTTTTCATATTCAAAATATTGTAGTATAATAAGTTGTCAAAATGAAACTTTATAATATGACAAAAAAAAATGATTTTTAATGTTATTTTTAAATATAATTTCAATATATTACCATTATTTTAATGAAATTTATAAATGTTACGATGTT